TTTTCTAGTATGTGATTGTACAATGGCCCATTAAAAAGATATTCCTACAGACTTTACAGTGCTCTTGACACCACTTGCAAACTGGTTAAGTATGAAGGTAAATCAGGTTCAGTCTGTATATGCCACATGTTTATTCCAGACATAACATCTGCTATCAGTGAATGTCTGCAGACACCTTCTCTCAGTCACACACTTGTCTTACTCTCATTAGGGTACCTTCAAGAAAATGTTCCAATCCAAACAGTGGCTTCCGAGGCGATTTGCTGGGGCAGTTAAACTCGAGGCACAGAGGTCAGCTCAGAAAGTTATGGTGTCTTTTTTGGAGTTCCAGAGAAATCATCTTGATAGATTTTACAAATGACACAGGATGATCATGGAGGCGTATTAGGAAGTTTTAAGAGAAATAAATTGCATTGGCAGAAGTGTGGGACTGAGGAATTTTTTTCTAGCACGATGCACCTGTTTATTCAAGGTTAGGCAGGGAGGGCTGTCCTAGGAAAATTTTGCTGAGAAACTTTACCCCCATCTATGCTACAGCCCTAAACTTTCCCCTTCAGATTTTTTTGTTATCTAAGGAGCTCTGGTAGCGTAGTGGTTATGAATCGGGCTGCGAACCTTAAGATCAGCGGTTCGAAACTACCAGCTGCTCTGCGGGAGAAAGATGAGGCTTTCTACTCCCGTAAAGATTTACACCCTCGGAAACCCTGTACAGGGTCGCTATGGGTCGGAACCGACTCGATGGCACTTAACAACAACAACAAAGCTCGTAATGGTGTCAACTGAAGTGTGAAAAATTCTCCCAGCAATGTTCAAAGATATGGAAACGCTGCCTTCAGAAATGCATACACGTTATGTTAAGCAATAATAGCTTCACATTTTCCTGGTTTTGTTTAAAAAGTTTCTGTGCCCTTAAATGAAGAACTCAAATTCAGCAAATCAGTTGTTGTAGGTAAAAACAGCACTATTTACACATTCAGATGAGTGGGTATTAGGAAATTTAATACACCAAACATTACTTAGTTATTCATTCTGTTTATTGGATTGAAAGAAAGGGAATACAAATGGTTGGTTAAGTGCTGGGCACCAACATGGAAAAGATGTAAAAAAAAAAAAAAAAAAAAAGGAAAGAAAAATCCCAGTAAAGCAAATCAAAGTTAATGTAGTTTCAATCAAACAGAATTTTGAGGATGCTTAATATACTACACATTTATAAAAGTTAACAAAGGGTGTTTTGTAAATAATTAGTAGGACAAGTGAAAATAAATATTAGAAACCTGAAGTTTTTTTGTTTTAATGAAAGAATATGGCAAAGAAATTTAAGCTACTAAATATAGAATCTGAGGGGGGGAAAAAAAGGCAACACAACCCCCGCACCCCAAATTTAAGAACGTAATCCTTTGAACACTTAATCAGTCCATAGCAAATAGTCATTACATACCGAAAGCTCTAAGTGTTAACTAGTTCCACCACAACTCCATGTAAATCTTGACAAGTTAGAAATCGTGAAATGAGTACTTGCCATTTTCCTGATCTCTACAGCTTGGTTTGTAAGTACATACATGCTTTTGTGGATCCATTCCCCCGCCACACACACACATTTTCAAGGAGCCAATAACATTTTTTCCAACTGTGCCTAAAAATGTTGATTCAGTTCAGCTGTAGCACATTGACTCTAATAATGAAAATGTTTTAAGTTAAAGATGGGGACACAACTTCAATCTTATAAAAATATACCAGTATTAACCAAACCTTAAATTCAGAGAGGGCACTTCACATGTGTACAAGACTTTTAAAGTTTTTAGTAAAATTGACAAAACCTAGAACAGCTGTTTCCAGGACTTTTTATTAAATAAAAAGTCTCTCTCTTACACACACATACACACACACACACACACAATTTTTATACTATTAGTTTCATTGAGTCCAGGCTATCTGGATTAAGGAGATAGGGGATGGGCTTTAATAGTTTTTGTTTTTGCAACTATAGGGCAGCTACTATAACAATAGCTTTTAACAACACTGAAAAATGTCAGTAAAGTTCACCCTGTTTTTAGAAAGTGTCTAAGTGTAAATGCAAATTCACTTCTTCTTTAAAGTTAGTTTATATTAAGTCAGACATGGTTTCTGAAATGGAAGTAGTGTTTTGGGGAGCAACTCAAAAGAATTTCTTAGTCTAAATGAGAAAGTTAAAACTAATCAAAAAAATTTTTTTTTGGATTCAGGACAAAAAGGATATTAAGAAAAATGTCTTCTTTCCTCCCCATTCGAAAAGTCATTCTTCTGCTGTAAAGAAACTGATATGGACATGTCCCTTTCAAGAGCTGTATATTTACCCACTGTGAGGCAGAGGTGATAGGGTCAGTTCTTGTTTGCAGGAACTAACATCCTAAAAAAGAAAACGGCAAGATGGGGAGGGGTGGGAAAGAAGCGTTTTCTAATATCACGGAAGGCCACTAGAGGCAGACGACCTCTAATGATGGTCACCATTATGACCTCATGTGTGGTTTCTGATTACCCCTTTCAACTAGCAGGCGATTCTAAATCACTTAAAGTTAGGGGATCCCTTTTTGTTCTCCCACCACTAAAACGGGCCTATTTGTAGGGACAAATTTTCCCATTTAAACTACTTACCTGGTTTAATAGAACCTTATCTGGCCAATAAGAGCAAAAAATGTAGCTGACAGGAGTACTAACACAAAAATAAAAAATGAAGCTTTGTCATCCCACCTAATTTTCCACTCTAATCTTTTATTACCACCCATACACCAATCTTAACACTCTCTATAGCCAATATTTTGCTATTAATAACTAATTATTCAGAGGAGAAAGACATTTAAGTTTATGCTTGCTCTAGCCCTTAATCAATGAAAAACAAAAACATTTTTAAGCACATGGAAATGAGCCTACTAACCTGATTGGGAGCCAAATATCTCCACTATGTTTTGATCTATGTGCAAAAAGTATTGGTACTTTTCAGTTTATACATTTGTTAATATCTTGTGGCTGGCTCAATAGTATTCTTACTCTGCTTTTTCTCTGATGCCTACTTTAGCAGTATTAGAGTTCTGAGTGAATCCTGCCATCAGGTTCTTAGTAACATAAAGTCCTAGGTTTCTCCACCAGGTCACCTTTCTAGCACAGTCACTACATGGCAAATGTATGAAACACGTTTACAGGAAGTTGGCACAACAAAGTACCATTGTAGATAGGAAGCTGTCTGTTCAGACAGGCTGGGGAAACAAACTCACCTAGCTGCTATAGAAACCTTTGCATAGTTGTTACTCCGATTTACTGGAGTTGTGTTCTTGTAAAATGTGCCTAACATTTACTCCACTTTTTAAAGTGTTTAAACTGTACTCACATCTAAAGGTGGCTGGGTGAAATAGATCGGGAATCTGAGTGCCAAATTGCCCCAAATGGGCACAAATCTCAGTGAATGTTATAAATGTACCATCAGCACACACTGTAACCAAAAACGGTGGAGTTCTTTATGCCCACATTTTGTTAGTGATATTACTGTAAAGATGGGGGTGTATTAATGGCTTCAGGGTATACATGAATCACTTAAAATAATTATACTGAGGTAAAGAGAAGTTGCCACTTAATTATATACAGTTACCAATGAAGATTTTTATTCAAGCTTAAAGTAAAAAGTAATTTTAGTTAAGAAAAATGAAGTACCAGATAAACTGTGACATATAGTTAAACTCAGAAGTATCAAAACAGGAATTCTTTGATTCACTAAGTGGTGGTCTCTGCAAAATGGAGCTTAAAGATATCTTTTACATACCAATTTGATAATATAAACTGCTGACCACGATCTCTCACTTATCTGAGCTTTCGGGAGAATCGCGCTTATTTTAAGGCCAATTGTGTTTTTTCGTCTTCTCCCCTTCCCTGATGTTCCCTTTCTCCCTGCTGCCATCCCCTCCTTCCCCCCCCTCCCCCCCCCCCCCAAGGTTTAAAGCACACAGTTGCTCTCCCTCTCTGGATCTAAAGGCTCCAGCTGCTCCATCGCTCCACATCATCATCTCTGCCCCCCCCAAACAAGGTTTAAATCCTGATGTCCAAGCCTTCTCTTTGTGGATTCTGAAGGTGTCCTAATACAGTATTGGCTTGTATGGGCCTAAACGGGTATTTAGTACAAGACTTTTTCTCACCAGTATCTTATTAGAGGTATTCCCCATCCTTTCCTAACAAAACAGTAGTGGTCACTACATTTATTCTCTACTGAAAAGGGAAGGCATTACTAAGAAAACTAAGGATGTTGTATTCAGCTGTTATGGGGTCCACAATGTGAACACCAGGGCTTTTGGCTTATTTTAAATGTGAAATTCTCAAAATTGTGTTTTTCCATGAAGGAAACCTTTCCTATGCTAAAAGGGGAATGAAGAGGGAAAAACTATCCACAGCACCAGTTTAGAATGAGGTTCAGTATGGCAATATCTGAAAAACTGAGAAGAAATAGTCTTTAAATTTATGTCTCTGTATATGTCAAAACATTAAGGGCAATTAGGGAAATGACTGTGTGGTTTTAAACCCAGTTTAAATTTGCTTATAACCTGCTGTAGTTTTCTAATAGTCTCAATTATACTATGAACTTCCAAAGTGGTCATATCTACTTATTTCTACTCTCTTGCTAGACTGCACCAAAATGATTTCCCAAGTTGAGAATGACTTGGAATAAGCTTTATTGAAAACCTATACACTGACTACTGAGCTTTCATGTTGGTATATTTTAAATTCACTTTCTTAAAAGCTTGAATTTCTTCAAGATTAGGTACTGACGTTTCTGTAAGAATAAAACGAATGGGGGTGTGGGGGGGGGGACTTTCGAGGTTTTACTCTTAAATTTTCTGTGTAATGTCCTTCCCAGTCCTGTTTCTGACCATGTCTGGTGGTACTCCAGAGGAGTCATTTATACTGCATATCTAAGTCACAGAGGAAACTGTTTTGAAGCTGGTTTAGATTCCAAATGTATACAAATGAAGTCACTTTAATCCTATAAATACTTCTTAATTTATTTTTAAAAAATTGTGCTGTTAACCCTTTTACGGGGCAACAAGCTATGTGAAAAGTACAAAACTTTTTGTCAAATGTAATATTGAGAGTGCTTTTGACATAGTTCACTGGTTTATCGTCTGGATCAGTATATACTGCGCAACGGGCAAGGCTAGAATCCATGAACCAAGCTGCAAAGATCTCAAGCTAAATAAGGCGGAAAGATTTGGAGAAACAAAAGAAGGAAATTCTTTCCTATCCAATGTATACTCTTCAGACTAATGCACTCTTTCTATCAAGCCTTCTAAACAGTTAAATAAAGTTTTCCAAACAAGCATTTAAACTTCATTACACAGAAGAGCAACAAGAATGGTATCCTGCCAGACAAAAGGCAGAAGGGAAAAAAATATATATACTGAGTTCAATGGGTAAGCCTGAATGTAGCACAGTTCTTCACAACCGATGGGGGATAATTCAACATGGTGTCCAACAACGTTCTAACGATGTGCTTCATCTCAACTGGTTACTATGAAGCAAGGTGTAAATGTTTGGCCCCAATCGGGCTTCAGAAATGGTTCTTTTTCATGACGAGCATGTCCATCCAGCTATATCAATCATGTTTGTTTGCACCAAATCCCAAGCCATTAAAATACGACTAATTTTAAGTTAAACAGAAGTCGTCTGCTCCAAATTCGCCATCAACTATCCATGCTACTGCATTCCTCTGGATGAAGACAAGATGAAATGTGCAACGGGAGAGGGAGAAAAAGGAAAGGGGAAGAAAAAAGTTACCAGTTAGAATGTTTTAAAATCAGCATCATCACATTGCAAAATACTAAAAAAATACATACACAGCAAATTCTTAATATTTTCATCATAATCATTGTAACACTGTACCTGCATCATGCCACAGTGTGATCATATATTAGAATTTAAACTTGTGATTGTTTTGATTAACAGAGAACTCAAATGAATTATCAAGTTGAAATCTCTTGCTTTTAAAATAAACCTTGAAGTAGGTATGCTGAATATAAAATCTTTGTGATTGTTCACATTAGAAAAGAGGAAAGAAAGATATGGTAGTCTATGGTGAAACTCTGGGCTTATCATTATGTGTTCTCTCAGTTTGGAATTCTGCAAAGTTCTCTACTCCATTTTATCTTTCATGTGTGTTTAAAAGCATAATTGAGATATAATTCATATACAATACAATTCATCCATCAAAACTTACGGGTTAAAAAAAACAACCCCAAACTTATGGATTCAATAGTTTGCAGTACATTTGAAGGGTTGTGCAATCACAGCCATATTAATCTTACAGAGTCTTTCATTCCTCATTACTAATAATCTCTTCCTTCTGCCACCCCCACCCTCTGGCCTAAAGCAACCATTAAGTTACTTTCTGTCTTTATGGATTTGCCTATTTCTGGACCATTTCATAAGTGAAATGATATAATACGGGGTTTTGTGTCTGGATTCTTTCACTAAGCATGAAGTTTTAAGGTTCATCCATGTTTTAGCATGGGTCAGTACTTTACTTCATTTTAAATAGCCCTCAAGAAAGTGCACAAAGTATATAACTCTTTTTGTTATAATAAAAAGTCACCAAATTCTCTTTTGAAATGAAGTAGTCAGGTGAAGTATTTTTATTTAAATGACTGAGAATATCTTATTTGAGTATAATTTTCTTTAGTGTTATCTGTATTTTTCAAATTTTCTACTCCAAACAGAAATTACTTGAAATAGAAAAAAACAGAGGGAGGAAAACCAGAAAATACCTGCATTTTAAGCTTATAATCAATTAACTGGTTAGCAAATATTTTCCTATTTCACATGAAAATCTCTACAGAGCTCTACCTAGACTGCCAAAACACAATGGAAAATTGCTGTATTGAACCCAGATCTTAAAAGTGAACTAAGAGTTTGGCTCACCCACATTAGTAAGTATCCACATGAATAAATTAATCAAATAGAAATGAAAGCATAAACACAGATATCAACATATCTTTAAAGGTACTTCTACAATCCACTTATTGAGTAAATCTGTTACTAAATACCTACTGTTTTCTTATTTCTTCAAATCAAATATGCTTATTTAAGGAAACAATTTCCAAATGACAAAATTAAAGCATGAGAAAAATGAGGCTTTCTATGCCCATAAAGATTTAGTGCCTTGGAAACCCTACGCAGGGTGGCTGTGAGCCGGAATCAACTCCACAGCACATAGCCACCGCCACCACCACCATGATTATAGCTGTAGACCTCTAAAGAATCCTTGAAACATGAACAGGATCATCAAAGTTAAACATGTCTGGTCTTATAGTTTATTTCCCAGAGGAATGTAGAAGGTTAAATAGACATCTCCAAATACAACATGGTCCGTCAAAGCTCTGTGCAACTAGGCAGTTCTCAAGTTGTGGACCTTTGTTACTTTTCATTATAGTCTCCTCTGGCTGCATATCCACACACTTGCCAGTAAAATATGAGCAAGCCTTCTACAATGTTGTACCATAAAGACAAAGCAGATTTTTATAAAAATACAGAGAATCTATTTTCTTGAACCATACATGCTACGCCTCCAACCATCGAGAATCACTTAACTGAGCAGCTGTTCATCTTTCCTACTATTTAGAATTTGGTAGCATAGTTGTTGCAATTCAGGCAGCTAATCTCATGGTCAGCAGTTTGAAACCACCAGTGGTTCCATGGCAGAAAGATGAGGCTTTCTGTTCCAGTAAAGATTTACAGGCTCAGAAACCCTATGCAGTGTCGGAACTGACTCCAAGGCACATAGCCACCACCACTATTTAGCATTTATTTAGGTGAGATATGCTATGTGAAATATATAGGTCTATCTAAGTAAATTATTTCTTCTAAATAAATGCAGTATTTAATCTACTCTACCTGAAAAAGTAAAGTTATTTACAGAAAGCTTCTGATAACCTTCTTACATTACCATTCATTATTTATCTCTTGAATATAAAATGCTTCATCAAATATTAAATATAGATAGCATAAGGAAAGACTTTCCAATTAAGATTAAAGTGACAATCCTAAATAACTAAATGATGTAAATAAGGTAGCACAGTCAACTTACTCTCTCCACTATCACTAAAAAACAAACAAAAATAAAAAACAAAACCGAAAAACCCTACTAGGTCTTAAACTTCTCCTATGGGGTAAGATGAAGTAAAATCCCTAAAAGAGGGAGAACATAAATCATATATAGCACTTTAAATAAAATTAGTTTAATTGCTGCAGGTTTCTAATAAGGGTATTATTTTCATCTGAAAAAAAAAAAAAAAAAAAAGGCATGTTAAACATTGTACACCGGTGTTACCTTCAATATTCTGGTGGTCTATAAAAGGTGCTGGTCCCCATATTCTAACAGTACCATCATCTGAGGCGCTGGCCATCATGGATGGAATCTGTGGGTTCCAGCTCACACAGTTTACTGTCCGTGTGTGCCCTGTCAATTCTGCGATCGGCAGCTCACTACGTTTGTGCCAGATGTAAACCTTGTGATCTGAATAACAGTAATTCAGAGACGAGTTAGGGTTTCTTTTAAATTAGCAAAATTAACTGATTTAAATTTTATCATTCACTTTATGTATAGCATATGACTTCTGACTAGGACAGTTTAAAGGCAGAACAAACATATGATTAGTTTAATAAATTACTTTATATGCAAAGCCATTTTGATAAAATATATTTATTTTTTCTGTTAAAAGTAATTATTTCCCATCAAATCTCCAAAAAATCTGCTTGGAATATGTCAATACATGAGTAATAAAACAAATCTAAGTTTTTTATAAAGAAATCCAGCATAAAGAAGATACATATTTTCATTTTGTTGAATTTTCAGGCAACAGAAAAGCAACAATAATGAAGTAGACAGTGAAATCCTTCCTTATGAAGTACTAAGTATTAAGTACGTTAAGTACACTATTTAATCTTTACCACTATCCCATGAGGTGGATACAATTCTTATCACTTACGGATTGTTACCAAAGCACTGAGAGGCTAAATGACTTGCTCATGGTTAAGAACTAGTAGATGGCTAAGCTGGGATTCAATCCAGGTAGCCTGGCTCAGAGTATACTCTAAACACTGTCCCATATCAGCCTCATAATACAGTTTCATGGAAGACTGTTTTTAATCTCACAAAATGACCCAAACACCCACTAACACCTTTGTTTTTCTGGGATGAATTAGTATTCAAAATAAATAACCAAGTACTACAGAACAGTGTTTATGAGAATTGCTTCTGAAGCCAGAGTACCTGAGGTCAAATCTTTCCCTCTACCACAGACTGGCTGTGTAATACTGGGCCACTTACTCATTCTTTGCAACTCTTCTGTAAAACATAACAATTTAGCTCATTGTGTTGTCATTACAACTAAATAAATTTGTGTTTAACAAAATACATATTCTGAAGAGATAGTTGATGGCTATTATACAGAAGGCAATATAGGGGAAAGTTAGAAGTGTCCAATCTAACAGTGTTATCAGGCAATTATGTAGATGATGTGGAAATTCTCTAGGGGCGTGCTGCCATCTTCAACTTGACAAAAACTGGTGAAAAAGATAATTAGCTTGTGGTGTAAAAACCAGAAGGGCCTTTAAAAAGTTCATGGAAATATGGAATTAAAGCTCTGGTCTCAAAATTTTTGACATAAAAATAAAACACTAGGAATGTACGTGAACTTTTTTGATGAAGCAAAAAAGGAAAAAACTGTATTTGCTGAATGTATCCTTCTTAGAATAATTCTGTTCAACAATTTTGATAAATGTCTCCTTGCCTAAAATAAAATTAGGAAATAAAAAAGCTATAGAAATTCACAAAGGAGAAATATTAAATGCTTGAAATATGTGAATTCAACTGAAATCTGTCTATATTTGGAGTAAAATGGGTCAGAGTTTAACTCTTTCCTACAGGGTTGCTATGAGTCGGGCGTAACTCGACAGCAAGATGTTTGGTTTTGTTTTATATCCAACTGGTGTTCAAAGCATTTTTAAAACCATTCTAATCTACCTGAATCATTAGAAAATCTCTTTACTTCATAGTTATGTCTCATTTTTAGCCCCAAGCAGGATATAATGTAGTTTAATTACATTATTCACCAGACTTAGTTCTAAATTAGTTTGGGCTTACAAGAAAAACCTGCCATCATCTGAGACTGTGGTAGCCATATATATTTTTATGTACCTCTAGGGCACATGTTATTTTTAGACACAGCTATGGGGAATTCTAAGGCTTAATTAAGAGGGGAAAAAAAACACCCCACCAGAAGCAGGATTGAACAGAACATGGGTAAAGTATCTTAAGAGTAGTTTAAATGTGTTTAAAGCTGCTATAATAGTACTTAGAATATAGTGAGCACTCCAGAAAAATGTGTTAAATGAAATTTACAAAAAGTTGCCATTATTTATGTTCTTATCACCTGAAAAGGTATATTTTGATAGACTTACCTGTTTGTATATTTTAAACAATTCATATTTTATATCAGATCAAATAGTTAGATAATATGCCTGTATAAAATATGGATACTTTCAGAATGGAGGATAAATTTATTGAAAAGAGCCTGTTTTTGTTATTTCAGCTTTTTCTGAAACCATAAGAACTATCTAACTAAATTATTCTCTATAGTCACTGAAGAAATACTGAAGATCTAATTATAATTTTGTCCAAGTTCACATTAAGACATCATCATCAACTTTGACAGTTTAGCCTGAATATTATCTCCCATGAAAAATCAAGTTAATATACAAAAGTATGACTTGACTAACTCTTGATGTGATAGAATCACCAAACACACTGCCACGCAGCCTAAAAGACAGTTAGGTAAGGAGGAGTCAAATCATTCTAAAAAATAGGGAAATAAACAGTGTATTAGATAAATATTATTTCAGTTTTTTAACTGAGCCTCTCTATAATTTGCTCTGAAACATGACTACCTTCACAAACTAAGGGTCTATGGGACTTTAAATCCCTAAGTATGTTTGTCAGCAACACAAAACAGTTACCTTCACTGCCACTAGCGATGAAGTCTTCATTATGGCCTCCAAAACACGAATGAATTGTATAAAACCCTTGCGTAACACCTTGATATTTTCTTACTAAAACTCTGTCTTGCAAGTCCCATAAATGAACTCCCTGTAGGCAAAAAAGATTTTAAAATATAATTTGAACATTTTCATTTAAGTAAAAAGTCAAAGTTCTGATAAATTTATGGTTGACTCTCCACATTTTAGGATCAAACACATGCAATAAAATGTAAGAATAAGTAGAAATCTTATTTATGTACAAATACATTTTTAAAAATCACAATGAAGATACAATTGAACTAAGTTAATTTTTCTGGAAATCATATTAATAATAAACTTACCTGAGTTGCTACATTTAACAAAGCTAATCGGCCATTTTTTGAAATAGTAAAAGACATAATAGGATGATCTTCTTGTACTCTGTAACCAAAGAAAATTTGTAAAATAAACATACAAAGAATAAAGATATTCAAATTATTTAATTATAGAAATGCTCTAGTCAATCATGTTTATATCACAATTTTGCTTTCAGCCACTACTATCCACTACACTCCAAACAGGAAAAATGATTTGAGTTAGGAGTCTTGGTGTGGCGCTTACGCAGTACCGCACCAGGACTCCTAACTCAAATGATAAGCACTGTACTACAAGGTCAGTTTGAACCGCAAGGTTGGCAGTTCAAGCCCACCAGTCACTTCTCAGAAACCCTACACAGGATTGCTATGAGTCAAAACCAACTCAACAACACTAACAACACCATCACCTGATTAACTATCATAATCCAAACTACCCAACAAACCAAAACCAAAGTAAAACCTCTTCTGGAAAAGCAAGCTCGTCGTTTGAACCGCATCATCAGAGGTTCAACATCACCAGCTGCTCCTTGGAAACCTCATATAGGGTTGCTATGGATCAGAACTGACTCAACAACACTTAGGAAAACAACAAACCACGTATTTAACATAAAGCAGATAATCATTGTTTAATGATGGAAACAAAATATAGTTACATGTTCCTATCTGTAAGGTCCTCGAAGTTATAGCCCCGAATTCGCTGGTGTGTGTCTGACGCCAGAACAGTCTTCCCGTCACTCAAGCACCAAAGGCATTGCACTCTCACCCCTTCCCAGGAGTCAAGAAGATTACCATCTAAATCCTGATCAGAAGAAAACAGCTATTAATGCTACTGAACTACAGTTAGAAAGCACACTAAAAAATATCTTTGAGCAATAAATACCTTTTAGTAATATAAGTTTGTTTTTTAGTGAGACTGATCTAAACCTAATTGTTTCAGGAATGTTTTTAATTAGGAGAATTTGAGTACAGGTCACATCTCATTACAACAATAACTAAAGGGATGGGTCTAGGGGATTTTCATAAATCTATCTTCAATAACCATAACCAAATAAAGTAAAATACCAAGAAAAAAGAAAAAAGTTCTCTTAAGTTCCAAGTAAAGGTCTTACTTTTAAAATTCAATATACTGCAATTTGTCCTGTAGTACTCAGAAATTGTGACATGGCACGATTGCTTAGCAATCTTTAAGTAGATTTAAGTAGAACTTAAAAATCTATTATGGTGGTTTATAAAACTCAAACTAAATTTGTAATAATAACATGCTCTATATAGATCAGAGCACTAATGTTCTAGTTCACTGAATATTCAAACTCAGAGGGGCTTTACTATATCCCCATTTTACAGATGCTCTTCCAAGTCTTGTTTCCTTTAAACACCGTATGATCTGGCATAGGCAGAAGCGTATGTGTTTTTCTTACATCCAAGGAATTAAAAACGGATTTAGGTTCCATGTGTTTCACAGCCAGCTTAAAAACCAGTAACTTAATTTGTTACACTGACTTTTTGAAAGGAGATCTTCAGCTACCTATAAATGACTGCATGGGGTTTGTTATCTTGTTTGAGTATTACAGATAAATACAGCAGTGTTTACTTGAACCCATGTGTCTTGAACCATGCTAAACATTAGAAAGAAATATAGAATCTAGACATAACAGTAACAATACTGCATTTGTATTTGTATTATAATTTAGCATGCCCTAAGACTTTTTACCTTTTACTCATTTTAATCTTTCTAAATTTTAATTGGATGCAATAAAATTTTTAATAAAAAACAACAATAGTGTAGGTACTAATCAGAAGACAGCTTATATAGAAAGTGAAAAGTTCCCTGGTAGCACACATCACCATTTTCAGTCTTCAAATACTAATGACTATTTACTCTTGACATTCAGGATTGTTTTGTTTTTAAAATATACAAAAAACTAAAGGCCTAAAAACCTCAAAAGAAATTAAGATGAAATCTTTTCATTCTTAAAATATTCAAGGAGAATAAAGAAGTTTGGAAAAACAATTGTTTTAAGTTCTATTAAACTCAAGATGCATAATACTTGAAATGGCAGGAAAAACAGAAAAAAAAAATCCAAATACATTGTGTTACTCCTATTTCATAAGCAGCTTAAAATACAATGTCTAGACTTAAAGTTTGTTCTAGGATTGCAATGTTCAATAAAGTAGGTACTAGCCACATGTGGCTAATTAATTTTTTTAAAAAAATTATAATTAATATGTAGTCCCAGAATCCCACTAGCCATATTTCAAGTACTCCAACAGTCCCAAGTGGCTAGTGGCTACAGTGTAACTACGAAACATTACCAACAGCAAAGAAAGTTCTACTGGGCAGTGCTAATCTAGGAAGATGGCAAAGTAAGTCTTTGTATAGTACAGTCTAAAACAGATACTTAGTCAAGTGACTTCTTTATTTCAACAAAAATAAAATTACTTTTCAATCAGCAGACACTTAGAAAGGGGCACTAACTACTTACACACTGATAGAACTGCCCACGCTGACCTCCAGTTACAAAGCGTTTCCCATCTGGATTCCAAGCCACACTTGTTAAACTGTCTTCATGCGACTGGCTCATTTTTGTCCTTAGCTCTCCCGTCTACAAAAACATAAGAATGTGGGTAAGACCTTCTTGTTACTCCTCTAAATTACATGTAAAGAAAAAACACATGTAAAGTGGGTATCTGGTTAGTTTGGTATTCCTGAGAGAAGTGAGTGATTTAAACTGCCTTAATAAAAAGTGTTATAGTACTTGGTAGAGGAAACTCAGGACCTTAGGGTGAACCCCAAGAGCTGAACAATGCTTGGCAAAGGTAATCCCCCCAAAATAGATACAATGAGAAAAACACCAATAAAACTTCATCTTTACAATCATAAAATGAAACTAATATGTAATTTTTTTCAAGCAAGTTGATACGATTATAATAGCCCTCTCAGCTTCCAAGTCTGTTCTTTTATCGATTTTATTCTAAAAATGCAGTTAATGTGATGGCAATTCCTCAACAGAATTAATGAGGAGAAAAGCTATGGCCTTAATCAATGGTGTGTTGTTGTTGTTGTTGTTACACCAACGGTATTAAGTAGTCTAACTTATGCTAAATTTTATATTCCAGATGCTAAAAATGCAGTAGGTTAAGATGGGAAGAGAAAATGTAAAATTATTTTTAAAATATAACTTTATTTCAAAAGCAACAGAAAAGAAAAAGGAACTTTATATGGTTTTAGCATAGCCCTTCTAAAGTATTCCCAGCCAAACAAGGATATTTAGTAGTTACAACCCTCAGATATCCTCCTGTTAATGTTTTCTAAGTTATCCAACTTAGAAGGTAGACACATACCATTTAATCTAGTCTTGATTCCATTTTGTTCATGGATTAGAAACAGGATCTGAGAGATAATAGCTGCCCTTGGTATAATAAAAAGTACATGGGCATAACTTCCTGTGAGAAATGGGTAATCAAAAGTAAAAATAAACGAATGAAAACAAAGGGTATGATTAGGAAATGGGGGCAAGTAGTAAAAGCAACAAGGGCACAAAAATAGAAAACTAGATGTTTCCCTTACATTGGGGAGAAAATTAGCTATCTTAATCCTTCCCCCGAATTGTTAGCTATTCTCACTTATTTACCTCTTTGGGTTGCTTGGTAGAAACAGTTAAAATAAAAATTCAGATGCACAAATACACATGCAATAGCTAGAATAATTTTTACTCACAAATATGTGACCACATTAAGTTATGAAAGCAGAAATGACAATTTCTCTTGCTATGCTCAGTAGTGAGTATATTAGGCTATTAAGAAACCTACCTAAAACCAAAATAGAAATAACTGAAAATAAAAGGCCACCCTTTTTAGAATAAGCTTAAATATAAGGTAATGCATTGTTGTTGTTGTTAAGTGCCACTGAGTTGGTTCCAACTCAGAGAACCTGAAGAGGGTTTCTGACAAGTGGCTAGTAAGCTTGAACCATTGAACTTGCGGTTCAAACCGGCTTTGCAGTCTAGCGCATTAACCCACAGTGCCACAACAGAACTCCTAGTAATGCATAGTAACATATTTATGCTAGAACAGAATATAATTCTTTAGAAACTCATAATTGACTCAAGAGAAATACTCACCAGAAAACAATCACAAATACAATATGTTTGATAAAAGTAGCTTAAGAGTTTTTGAACAATTGGGAACTTTTTTATTATGAAATGAAAGTTAGTTTTAGTTAAAGAATTGTAGTAAATATTCTTAGATATAATAACAGTATTTGTTTATGTAGAATGCTGCTTTCCTAGGAGATACATGCCTTCTTATTTAAGGGTAAAATGTTTTAAATTTACTTTCAAATGTTATGAATATGGGTATATATTTGTAAGAATGCATGTGAAGTCCTGGTGTGGAGTTGTAGAATAAGCACTGGACTGCAAGGTCAGCAGTTCAAACTCACCAGTTGCTTCTTGGAAATCCTATCTATACAGGTTTGGTTGAGTCGGAACCAACTCTAGGGCACTTAGCAACAGTAACATGTATGTATCCATGTACGGATACATATACACAGTATAACAAAAGTCTAAAAACAGACTCAACAACTATTGAATCTATGGTGGTGAGCATATAGGCTATCATTGTGTTAGTATTTCAACATTTCTGAATGTTTTCTTAATAAAAGCTAGTGTTGAATTTCCAGGCAGAGAGAGGCCTGCCTATGGACAGAGCTGAGGAGAGGCTGTCCAGATTGGAAGAACTGTCTCCTGAGCATTTCTGACCGTGACCTGTTAAATTCTCTAATAAACCTCATAACTGTGAAAACAAAAACAAAAAAGCTAGTGTTTAAACACCAGAAAACAACTTAAGATTTTATTATTCAAATAGCTTAATGAGATTTATGGCGGTCATCTTCAGGTCCATTTTGAGTATTCATTTTGTCCTCTATACAGTCTTTATTATTTCAATAATCTCTGCAGAATTTTATCTCCACAGAGTTGGTAAAAATCAAATTATTTATTGGTCCCTGGAATAAAAACCCTACCCCCCATCAAGTTACACTTTGCCTAGGGGTTAAAAAAAGGAAAACCACCTACCCTGACAACTACATTGTCTCTAAAACATGGCCTGTAAATAACAGAGTAAATACAATGCTGAGTTTTTCTAAAATGAGATCGTATACAAAGTTCAAGTTTTCATTAGAAAACAGTAATAAAGCACCTCATAGTAAATACTCAAAACATCATGTGGCTTTACCAAATGAGTCCAGGTGCAACTGCCATGAAAATAGAAAATTTTGTTTGATGCCAATGCTTTCACACTTGAGAAGCAAATTGCATGTATAATTGTGAAACTATGAAACAACTATAAACTCCTTCCTAACGTGCAAATACCACAGTACTAGCACAAATTTCATAGTACAAAGTAAAACATTCCGAAATACTTATACTGATCTTTCAAAATTCTATTATGCTTGGCAAAATGTATAAATCTGGACACTTGTGATCCACCTGAAGAATCACCATTCGTAAGAGCTACATTACAGTAAAGGGTTAAATGGCTGTTTAATTGACAAATAAGAAACGAAGTTATGAAGAATATACGCAGTAAGACTATGCTTTAATTAAAGGCCAATCCAAGGATAGAACTTGCTCACTTGTACATTCCAAAGCCAAAGCTCAGAGCAGTCATCTGGGCCACAAGCAACAAGATAGTTGTCATCTGGACTCCATGCAATATAAGAAACACCGTAAGCATGTCCTTCTAATGTTTTAAGCAGTTTTAACAGGTGTGTATCCTAGGAGAGAAAATACATAACTCAGTTAACTCTCATGCCTAAAGTTACTATTTTCTAGCACAAATACTTAAGATAGCTGATGTGTTTTGTTAATAAAAAAAAAAAAAACTTGGCCCGAAGAAGTTTTCACATAAGTTTTCACCCCCAACTTGCTTCATATAGACTCACTCATACTTCAACATCTATTAAGCATCTTCTATAGACAAGGAGTCCTGGTGTGGCATTGGAGCATAATGCACTGGACCACAAAGTTGGTTTGAACCACAAGGCTGATGGTTCAAATCCACCAGTCACTCTTCAGAAACTCTATATAGGGTTGCTATGAGTCAGAACCAACTCAACGGCACTTAACAACAACAACAACAAACAGATAAGGCAGAGTGTACAAGTTGGAAATACGAGGATGACACAAAATTTATTCTTAGGAACTTTCAGGGGAACTAAAAACAGATGGGTATCACAGATCTGGTGTGGTGCTGTGGGCTAATGCGTCAGAGACTGCAAAGTTGTTGTCTGAACTGCGAGGTTGGTGGTTCAAGATTACCAGCTGCTCCTTGGAAAACCTACACAGGGTCGCTATGGGTTGGAATCGACTCAATGGCACTTAACAGCAACAATATCACAGAACAAGCTCTTATTAAACAAATAAACTTTACTGAGATAGAATTTACATATCATAAAATTCACCCTTGTAAACTGTACAAAAGAATGATTAGTATATTCAAAGCTGTCCAACTATCACCACTATGTAATTTTAAAACGTTTTCATTCTCTCATCCCAAAAAAACCTATATCCATTAGCAGCCCCTCCCATGGCCCCTGGAACACTTCTAACCTATTTTCTATTTCTCTGGATTTGCCTATTCTGAACATTTCATATAAATGGAATCATAAAAATATGTAGTCTTTCGTGGTTGGTTTATTTCACTCAGCATGTTTTCAAGATCCATCCATGCTATACCATGTATCAGTACTTCATTCCTTTTTATTGTTGAGTTCCATTGTATTGATACACCATTATGTGTTTATCTACCATCTGTTAATAGAAATTGGGGGTGTTTTCACATTTTGGCTATTATGAATAATGCTCTTATGAACATTTGTGTTTTTGTGTGGATATATTTTTCACTTCACTTGGGCAAATACGTAACAGTGGAATTGGTAACTCCATGTTTAATATTTTGAAGATATAACAAACTGCTTTGGAAGTGGCTATACCGTTTTACAATCCTACCAGTAAAGCTACTTGTTGTTGTTGTTAAGTGCTGTTAGTTGATTCCAACCCACAGCAACCCTATATAGGGTTTCCAAGGAGCAGCTGGTGAGCTTGAACTACCGACCTTGCAGTTCAAATGGCTTTGCAGTCTGGCACATTACCCCACAGCGCCACACCATGACTCCTTAGCAGCAATTAAATTTTAGTGCTGATCAATACACTGTGGCCCCATCGACAAAAAACATCTCGTTTAGGCCACACATATCTAAGAAGCAAGGTAATGATGGCAAAGAGATGAAGGTTAGAAACTTGCCTCTGTTTACAGTGCATGTTAGGATTTGAATTTGGGCTGCTAACTCAGACCATAGTCAACTAAACCATAGAAGGCAAGTGTGGAAATGGAAGGACTAGGATGGGAAATTTTACATGTGTAGTTTAGACTAAGGGGGTTAAATAAATTTTGTCCTGTGAGTGAACAGTCACTTAAAATTTTAAGCCTCGAAATATATAACACGAAATCAACTTTAGGAAGAAAATTTAGAAAACAACATGGATGATGAGTCAGAATGAAGAAACAAAGGATAATGAAACATATGATAGAAATCAATACAAGAGCAAGAGTTACAACATGAAAAGAAGCTCTAGACTAAAATGATCAGATTAAAAAATACTTGGGAGATAAAATATTCCAAGACAACCTCCACATTTCTGGTTTAACAGATGTAGACAGGGAACAGAGGAAAGTAGGAATTTTGGCTAGAAGGGAAGAACAGTGAGTTAAGTTTTAGACTTTAAGTCTAAAGACTCATTGAGTCAAGCTTTGAACCTATGGGATATCCCAATGGAGCTAACCTACAAGCAGTTGGAACAAGTCACTGAAAAACAGATTTAATTTACTATATTTAGTTTTCTTCACTGGGCCTCAAGTATAGGTATTCATACAGTTTTCTAGTCCAAACCTGTATGACAAAACTGAATACTGAACAATGCAGCTACTTCTGATAACTTTTGGAGGAGAGGGCGTTGTTGGTAGGCATAAAGGATTTGTATGTGATCAGTAATCATAGTTGCTTGCATAACTGAAAAAGCAAGCCTTTCTGACTCCTGAAGACCTTTCAGGAACAGCCTTGCATTCATAGTAGCGTTCCTGATATATGCAAAGATTTACTTCTAAACTGATGGCAAATAAACCAAAGCCCAACTGCTTATCTACATTAAAAAGATGACATAATCCTTTAACAAAGAAAGTTGGAAAAAAAAAAGCAGATTATTACCACTATCTTTGAAAATATTACACTAACAACTAACCTACCACCTATTCAAAGTGGACGTGTGTTCATGGAATCAATATGATTTTGCTTATTTATTTTTGAAGGAGGGGATGAATAAAATTAATTTTATGAAAAATTGCTAAAGGAGAGTGGACACTGGAAAGACATTAACTTAAACTGTAAAGTTCTCTCTATTCTTTTTTTTTTTTTTATTAGAAAGCTGCACATACAAAAGACATGCTTTCAAAAAGGATAGTCAAATTTTCTCAAATACTGTGACAACAAAATGTCATCATACCAAAACAAGAGTTCTAAGAAAATTCATTGAAGTATAGTGATCTAAAAAAATTATGGCCCCCATAATTTTTGCATATTGGAATATAAGCGTTAACTCTCCATTTCCCAATCTAATGTGGCCATAAAAGCCCTGCATAAGTAACATCTATTAACATTCTGTACACCTCCTGTTCTTGTAAAATACTCTGGGAAATATTGACATAACCATCCAAACTCCTTAGCAAAACATACAAGATCCTCCTTTGGCTGCTACTTACTTCTTTAATCTCATCTAGTTTACCAAAAATTTCCTCCCAAGTGCCAAATCATGGTTTTTTTCATACAAGGGCTATTCCTAAGTGGTGGTGGTGTGCCATGGAGTTGTTTTTGACTCACAGCCACCCTATGTAGGGTTTCCGATGCTGTAAGTCTTTACTGGAATAGAAAGCCTCATCTTTCTCCCATGAACAGCTGGTAGTTTTGAACTGCTGACCTTGAGGTCAACAGCCTGACACGTAACCACGAGTCACTACCAGAGTGACTTCATTTCTAGCTAGTGCTGTCTAAATATTTCTTTACAGCTTTCATTTAAAACTTCCTTTCCCCAGCTTTCCAGTTCCAGTTGGATCTCTTATGAAACCTACAGCATTCATTATAGCACAATTGTACAATATCATATGCTCAGTCTGTCTTCCCAAGCAAAAGGCCGGGCACACAGAAGTTTCCTCTTCTTATGATGCCCTTTCCCTTCCTCTACTTGTGTATGTACAGCAAAGCTCAAAATTCCTCTCTAATGAGCTACTCCTACCTAAGAAGCTCCCCTTTGTCCTTCCACAATGCTTTATATATATATGATGCTGATTTTATTTAGCTTTATTTTCCTTTCTAATGATACTCCTTAAGCAGGAGTTTTTACCTGAAATCTAGACGAATCAGTCCATGGACAGACTCAGTGGCCCATGAATTTAAATGAGAAAAGATACATTTTTATTTTTACTAACTGGAATCTGAAATTCATTAATACCTTCAATCTTGAATGCAGGCAATTAACCATGGTTAATTGTGGTGCTCTAGGATAAACACTCGACCATAGGTTGGTTTGAACTGCAAGCTTGGCTGTTCAAGTTCACTGGTCACTGCTCAAAAAACCCACACAGAGTTGCTATAAATTGGAACCTACTCCACGGCACTTAACAATAACAACATTACCAGTATCTGTGACTGTTACCACAGAAATCTCAAATATGTTCGTATCAGAGTTATTGCAGGTATCGTAAAATACTGCTTATGCTCATCATTACATCAATATTCTAGTAGTTATAGAACCTGCTACTTAATGTGCTAATAAAGAAATAATGTATTATTTCATTAGAATTGGTAGTCATGATGTGGTGCTGTAGGATAAGCACTTGACTGCTAACCACAAGGTCGATGGTCCAAACCCACCAGCTACTCCTCAAGAACCCTATACTGGGTCAGTATGAGTCAGAACTGACTCTAAAGCTCTTTAACAACAACTACTGTAATTATTTTTATACTACTTTGATAGCTATGTTGTTGTTGTTCAGTGCTGTCGAGTTGGTTCTGACCCATAGTGACCCTATATAGGGTTTCCAAGGAGCAAACTGGTGAGCTTGAACCTTGCAGTACAAATGGCTTTGCAGTTTGGCGCATTAACCCACAGCGCCATACCAGGACTCCTTATTTCAGTATAATTGGGCTTCCATAGTCATAAATGTGTAATAATAGATAATTGGGTTTCCTTATACGTTTACACTTAAAAATATAATTCTGAGAAGGGGTTCATACGTTTGCTACATTGCTAAAAAAGGTACACGGTATAAAAAAAGGTAAAGAAACCCACTTAGGCAAAAAAACAAAACAAAACAAAAAAAACTTAATTACCTTTCATCATTCATAGCTTAATGCAGGTAAATAAAAATTGCTCTATGTTTTCAAATTTGAGTATCCTTGGAAATTTCTCCTTCTATGGCTCAATTTCCTCTATTATTTCAATGTGGGAGCCTCCCAAAACTTTCTTCTGGATTAGTATCATGTTTAAACTAAATTTAATGATGTTTATTGACTTCAAGATTTTAGGTGAATGACTCCTAAACCTTTACATATCTGGAGTCATGTATTTCTTTCATTGTTCAACAAATGCTCACTTGGCTGAAAAAAATGGAAATACTTATTTCTACAAATCTATATTCTCCTAGTTATAAACAAAAATAAATATGATTTTTAAGATAATTTAGCCTTTTCATCATGTACATCAGAGGGGGTAAGGGAAGGAGAATTAGGGAAGGAGACTTGCACAAATTCTACATAACAATTAATTAAGGGTAAAGAGAAGCAACACGGAAATGATTCCTTTCTAACCTGTGACAGAATGAATGGGCACTGGATCAATTTTGTAAATACAGTATTAACAAAAATATAAATTAGCAGAGAAGTTACGAATAGTAATTTGGGAATCATCATGGTCTTAACTTCTGCCATTTACAAACTGAGAGCCTGAGCATTTCACTTGTATCTCAGTTTCCTTGTATGTAAATAAGAGATGCTAATATTTTACAAATTAATCAGAAAATAATGAATACATAGATTTAGCACAATTACAAACATTCAAGAATTCAGATATTAATCTACATATTTAAAAACAAACTAAGAATAGGTAAAAAGTGGCAAAGATGATAAAAAAAAAAATGTACTTGGAATACTATTTATATATGTATACTTAAAAATATGTAGCCAAATAATTACAGTCAAAATTATCTTTTTGCAATCTAAACACTCATACTGAAATACATACCGGATCAACTTGCCATATGATAACTGTTGTGTCTTTTGATCCTGTTGCTAGTTTAGTTCCATCGTTAGAGAATTTACAAAACCACACTTCATTACAATGCTCTGTAAGTATCTGCTGAGTATAACAGGGAAACTGTCTCCTGAAACAAAAAGGTCCACAAATAATTATTCTTTCAAAATACAGTAATAATAATGAAAAAGATTAAACTTACCAGCTTCTTTGGCAAGTACAAATTTTAAAAATAAAAATCAATGCATACGAAATCTCATTAATACAAAGTCAATTCATATAAACAAAAGTTAATAGGGCTTCATGCTATGTATATAAACTGGCTGGCATGAGTTGTTCTATAAGGAATAATATAACATCTCCAAGTTACATAACATCTAGTTAAACTTCTATTAGAAAAGCAACTTGGTATGACAAATAGAGAACTGGAGTCATGCAGTGAGTTTAAATCCCTGCTCAGTCACAAGTTTTAATACTGTCTTTCGCAAGTCATTTTAACTTCTCGAGCTTCTGTTCCCTCAGTATCTAATAGGGTTCTTTGTAAGATTAGAGATACAGCTACAATTCCTAGAATATAATAGGCATCTGAATGGTAACTACTACTATTATTTTGGAGGGAGCATAGAAGATGCACAATATGTGGTAGGGGCTGCAGTGGTAAGTGTAAAGTCTAAGAACTGTTGTTGTATTGTGCTGTGGAGTCAGTTCTGACTCATAGCGACCCTGTACCAGGTTGTCCGAGGCTGTAAAAATCTGTATGGGAGCAGAAAGCCTCATCGTTCTCCCGCGGAACAGCTGGTAGTTTCAAACTGATGACCTTGGGGTTTGCAGCCCAATTTGTAAGAGAGAAACTCTGACTGACTTTGGTTAAAATGCTGGGTCAGCTACTTATTAGCTGTGCTTCTGGGAAAGCTATTTAACCCTTTAAATCTCAATTTTTCCAAGAATAAAATAAAGACAGTGCCTTGTAAAATTCCTTATCCCAAGGATAAAATACATGGATGAGATCATGTAAAGCCTTCATAAAATTAGTCTGATGTGTAGCTAGTACTTAAAAAATGACAGTTAAGTTATGTTGACTGCCGTGGAGTCGGTTCTGACATATAGCGACCCTGTATAGGGTTTCAGATGAGTGGCTGGTGATCTTGAACTGCTGACCTTGTGGTTGAAACAACCTTGCAGTCCAGTGCATTAATGATATGTCTGATGAGCCACACCAGGACTCCCTAAGATATATTAAGGACAAAAATTCTATAATTATTAATTTTACTAAGTTATAGAGAAAAAACAATCACTGTAATAACGACCAGTCTCATTAAGTAATCACTTTTACAACTCGCTCTGTCCTTTTCTAATTGCTATTACCAGTACTGTTCAATAGGATTTTCTGTGATAATGGGCATGTTAAAAACCTGTGTTGGCCAATACAGTAGCCACGAGCAACATGTGGCCAGTGTGCCCACAGGATGTAATTTTTTATTTAAAATGAATCCCTTTTAGTAAACATTTATATGTCCATTTCAATGTGGTTAGGGGCCACTGTATTACACAGTACAGCTCTGTATTATAAATTCTCTATAATATTAAACTAACTTATTCAAGTACTAATGCATAAACTCTTAAAGCCTATCTTGAGAAATGGTTTTATTTTCCTCCTGCCAATCCATAATTTAAAATATATTCTGTTAATTCACCAGCTTGACAGGTAATATATTTTAAAACATTTTCTAGATTTAGCACTCATGGCAACCTGCCTGAGCAGTTGGCTATTTGGAGGCTGCTTTAAACTTCCAAATTATTTAACTATGAATTACTTTCAACATTAAACTATTATTCAATAATAAACTGAAATAATTCTTACTAGATTACATTTACTATGTACTTACTAGGTGTAACACACTGTGTTAAATGCTTTATGCATCAAAACAAAACAAACCCAAAATGCCATTCAGTTGATTCCAACCCTATAGAAGAGTAGAACTGCCTCCCCATCCCACTCCTTCACAGCTTCTAAGGCTGTAAATCTTTACAGAAGCAGACTGCCATCTCTTTCTCCCAGAGTGGTTACTGGGTTCAAACTGGTGGACCCTTTGTTAACAGGAAAGTACTTTAACCACTGCATGGACAACCTTCCTTATTCTCAAAACGGCTTTGTAAAATACGTCACCCTTATTTTCATGATGAGGATAACATAAGGCATGTAACTTAACAGATGTCATAAAACTGTTAATTAACTGTAGTAGGATTTGAATGTATGTCTGACTCCAAGACAGTTTTTCCCCAAATACAATCTTTTAAATCACATTATTCAAGGCACTGCTGGATAAAACTCTTATCAAACAAGTACTTTCAACATCAGAAACATTTGTTTTTTCCTCCTGGATGTAAACAATTACTAAACATGTCACTTATTTAATGAGAAACACTAAACCTCTAAACACAAAATACACAATAATTCAAGTGGCTAAACTTGATAATTAATGAAAAGACATATTTAAATTTAGAGCTGTAGGATGTCCATAAGGAAGGGCAGATTCAGAATACAAATCATCTAGTCTACAAATAATCACTTGTACTTAAATATCCTTAAAGTGCTATTTAAATTATTATCACTACGCATATAATTTTTAAAAAGACACTAATATAAGAGCCCCAAAATTAATAAGAGTCTATTTTTAGATGCATATAAGTGATCGTTTATATATATGGTCTTTGCTTTCAAATTTAAACTATAAAATGGTGTTAAAAAATAAAGATTAGTACCATCCCAAGTAAAATTGAATAAAAGGTAAAATTTAACCAAATGGAATCTTCTAAACTAAGTCCCAATAAATATTTTATAGTAACCCTTTACTAAAAAAATGAACACTTACAAAAGCTACTCGTGGACACACACATCCTTCCATTTGTTGAGGATTTTAAAAAATCCAATGTTATTTAAAAAAATAATTTAAAAGTAACGAGCCGCAAGGTCAGCAGTTCCAAAACTACCAGCTGTTCTGTGGGAGAAAGATGAGGCTTTCTGCTCCCGTAAAGCTTTACAGCCTTGGAAACCCTGTACAGAGTCTCTATGAGTTGGAATCGACTCCACGGCACATAACGACAACAACAATAATAAAGTTCTCCTTACTGGTCAAAACTATGCATACTCTGAACTGTGAAAAATATAAAATGTATACAATCTAATGAAAGCTCTTTAGTGCTGATTTATATATTTTTTTAAATTAAGTCCTAGTTCATTTAATCGTAACTAATTCTTCATTCACCCAAAAGAAAAGCTGATTTTTAGATTTCACAGCTAAGATAAAATTTCTGAAAGTATTGTTTTCTAGTTTCAAAGCTAAAATCTGATTTCTTCAAGGGAGTGAAACTGATAATGAAACATTACCAACTTTTCTTTTGAAGCTCTCTAGAAGAGTATAGAATCCTAGGAATGAAATCAAACCATGTCCTAGTTTCCTAGATAAGCAGTGATGGGCAGGCCTACTCACTCTCAAGAATATCTATGACTTGATGTCTGACGACTTGGTACTCCTTAGTGTTTTGAAATATCTCTCTACAATGAAAAGTCAAGTCAAGGCTGATCAACAGTTTTCTGGCTTGGGGAAATAGAGTAGATTTTAACCTTTCAGCGATAGGGCATTCAAGAGGTAAAGCAGTGTTTGCAGCAATAAGAAGGAGAGGACACTGTGCTGAGTTTAAGATATTTGAACACCATCCAAATTGTTTTATTAAGATCTAAAACTTGAAAGATAAATTCTGTAACTCTAGTCTAGACTTAAATCATTAGAACCATGGAAGCCCATCCTAAGGAGGAGGGCAATAAGGAAGAAATGGAATTCTGGAAGACGCACATTAGAGGGACAAGCAAAGAAGAGCCTAAGGAATATCTAAGAGCAGAACCAAAAATCTGGAATATTGTAGAAGTCAATGAAAATTTTTTTTTGAAGGCAGAGTAGTTAAGCTCTAAAGAAAATTTTAAAAAGTCAAATACAGGCTGGAAACAGTCCAATGGCTATAAGAATGAAGAGGCTGTTTCTCACCAACATCAGTAACAGTTCTGCTGCTGATGTGTTACCTACAGAAGCCCTATTATTACAGAAACTGGAGAATGAAATGGAAGTAAGGACCTTCAATGTATACTGCTGCTGTTAAGTAAGGATGAGGTGGTTCCAACTCATAGCGACCAGGTACAGAGTTTCCAAAGAGCGGCTGGTGAATTTGAACTACCAACATTGAGGTTTCAAATTGACCTTTCAGTAAAGTGCTTATCCTACAGCACCACACCAGGACTCCAATGACTACACAGGCTTATAGGAACCTGACCTCAATATGAGAATTGGAAGAAGTTAGACCAGATATTTTCCATCATAAATACTGGTAAAGGAAAAATATAATCCCATAGCACAGGCTATAATTTCTAAGAAGGACAGCAAGTTCTTAACCTGTTGACAGCCCTTGAACCATAATGTCCAGTTATTGTCTTCTAGTGTATTCTAGCAGCAAAAGATTTTCAAATTGTTGTTAAGTGCTATCAAGTTGGATTCAACTCATAGCATCCCTGTATAGGATTCTGAGGAACAGCTGGTGGGTTTGAACTGCTGACCTTGCAGTCCAGTGCTTTCCCTACAGCACCACGCCAGGACTCCACAAATTTATAAATAACAATAAAAAATTTTTTTAGTTCACAACTTCCTTAATTTTTAAACAATGTTAGTGTAGTGGTTACAAATCGGGCTGCAAACCTTCAGGTCAGCAGTTCGAAACTACCAGCCGCTCCGCGGGAGAAAGATGAGGCTTTCTGTGCCTATAAAGATTTACAGCCTTGGAAACCCTGTATAGGGTCACTATGGGTCGGAACCGACTCAACGGCACATAACAACAAACAACAACAACAATCAAATTTCCTAAAGGGACTATAAAATATGAGATGATATAGCCTTTTAATGTATTAAAAAGATTAAAATGCTCATAATCAAGTGAAGAACAGTGCTAAAGAGTAAAAGAATAAAAGATCAAGAAGTCAAACAACATGGAAAAAGGGGATGAAGAAAAAGGGACTCTAAACACGTTCTTTTAGAACATTTACAATTTTCACTAAGTAATCTCATACTTCAAGATAATTTAAAGCCAAAGTCCAAAAAATTATTGTCATTTTTCTGGGGGTGGGAGGGCCTTTGGGTAGTATGCTCTGAGAACTCAAATTACATTCACAAATGGTTTATGTACACCTACTTAGAAGTTCCTCATTTATTTAAAGTCCTCACATTTATATACTTTTGTCTTTCCTATTCATGTTTTCATTAGTTCTTCAATGATCTTTGGCAAGATAAATTAAGCATGTCTATTGCAGCTGTTTCTCTTTTGTGTTTAGTTCGTCAGATTCAAAAAATTTCCTTTCTGGAGTTTGGAACATTTCACAATATGTTTTCAGTACCTTAAAAATTAAAGCTTTACTTTAATTTTGGCGATTAAAATAGCAAGGAAATTTGTATTCAAAATACTCAACATCAAAAAGAGACGCTTGAATTCTTAAAAATTAAATCATGCACATGGGTAGGTATAATAACAAAATGCAGATTAGAAAAGTAGTTAACAGTTATTCTAATCTAAATTGGGTTTACAGCCCATCTTCTAATAAAAAGCAGAATTTTCATTAAGGAAAAAAAAATTTCTGTAATGTTTAGAAGCAAAAATTAATTTGGGTCATAGTTAACATAGCCCCAAGTATCTAGAGAAAGAATCACTAACTGACCCCTAGCATTCAAGGGCAGTATCAACACTTGGATCGCTGGCATTCCCACACAGTTTCACAAATCCTCCAAAAAAATTGTTTAATATGGAAAACAACTAACCAAACCCATAGAGGCATGATATAATAAGGTTTACAGCTTCAGTTTTCAAGGTATGCCTTACTCTGTAAACATATACAAATTTCTTCTAATTTTCAATATTAGAATTTCTACTTTTACTTGTGAGTAAATGCTATAGCAGTCATAAATTACTTTATACTACAGGATAAACTCTAAAAACAGAAAACGCTGAAATCAAGTTCATAACTGAGTCTGCAATATTAGTCAGTTTCAGAGTATAAGGGGTTTTTCTCTTACCTACTACAAACATGATCTATAAGCAGAGACACAGAATCTAGGTTATTATCAAGTTTGGTATTGTGGTATAGGCACCGGTCCCTTTGCAGCTCCACCGCCTGCCGCAGGAGAGTCTGTAAACGCCGTGGAGGAAGCATCACTGATGGTGGTAAATAGGCTTTAGTAGAAGATGTTTTAAAAAAAGAGAAAAACAAATTTAAAAAAAGGAAAAGGCAGTGTGAACTTTTATTATTTAATGTATCTGTTCACCTTCTGCTGTAGTTGCTCCCCCCTTTTTTTTTTTTTTTTTTAATTTTTTGTTTTTTTTGATTTTTTTTCGTTGGTTTGGGTTTTCATCACTAGGATGGGATATACTTGGATAAACAAAAGAAACCCAATGAGTAGACTGACAGTCTATTCAGACTCACAGCAACTCTATAATCACAGGTTTCTGAGACTGTAAATCTTTACAGAAGCAGACAGCCTCATCTTTCTCCCGCAGAATGGCTGGTGGGTTTGAGTTGCCACTCTTGTGGTTAGACGCCCAAAGCCTAACTCATGTACCACGAGAGCACCTTATATTTGGATGTTGTTGTTAAGGGCCACTGAGTTGGTTCTGACTCACAGTGACTATGTATAAGGTTTCTAAAGAGCCAACTTGCTATGTATAAGGTTTCTAAAGAGCCAACTTGCTGTTAAGGAGCTCTGGTAGCACAGTGGTTATGAATTGGGCTGCAAACCGCAAGGTCAGCAGTTCAAAACTACCAGCTGCTCCGTGGGAGAAAGGTTAGGCTTTCTGCTCCTGTAAAGATTTACAGCCTTGGAAACCCTGTTCAGGGTAGCTATTAGTCGGAACCGACTCCACGGCACACAACAACCACCTTGCTGTTAGCAGTCCAGTGCTTATCCTACGGTTCCACACCAGGACTCTTATACTTGGGTGGTGCTGGTGGTGGTTATGTGCTGTGGAGTTGGTTTCCCCTCAGCAACACTGTATAGGGTTTCTGAGGCTGTAAATTTTTATGTGAGCTGAAAGCTCTATCTTTCTCCAGCAGAACCACTGGTAGTTTTGAACAGCTGACCATGAGATTAGCAGCTTGACTTGTAACCACTACACTACCAGAGCTCCTTTATACTTGGATAAGAGAGTTTTATTTTGTTTAGCTTTTCTAAAAACAATAAGGAAAAATCTCAAAATCACTGTGCATTAGAGGTGGACTAAGCATTACTAACAGTTTAAGATAATTTTCCATATAACAAAGAGCAAGTCAAATGCTGCTGACAAGTTAAGCTCCAGGCTTTATCAAGTCACTCCAGATGCAAATGATACAATGGATATTCAGGGAATAACTGATGATTTATTATCAATACTAATACATTCCAATCCTATAGCTCTGGTAGCGTAGTGGTTATGAATTGGGCTGCAAACCTTAAGGTCAGCGGTTCGAAACTACCAGCTGCTCCGTGGGAGAAAGATGAGGCTTTCTACTCCCGTAAGGATTTACACCCTCGGAAACCCTGTACAGGGTCGCTATGGGTCGGAATCGACTCGACGGCACTTAACAACAACAACAACATACTTCTCCTACCATGTGGTCTTCCCTTTCTTAGGATTTTTACTCCAACTTCAGCATGAAAATTATCGTTGGGGCGAAGGGGAGAGCAATATACAAGAAGGGGGAGGGTGGCAGAAAAATAATGAAGATAGACGAAGATACAGGGAGGTATGCATGAGTTTAAGGGGATTGATGTATATAGTGATATATATACAACCTTGATAACAATGTTATGTGCATGGATACATGGATTGAGACAGGCTGAATGGGTAAGGGAGAGAAAGTGGGATATATGTGTTTATCCCACAAATACATATACCCTGTTTCAAACTCTTATATATTTGTCCTACAAACAACTATAAATGTAGTGGAGCATACAGCGGGCAAAATGACGTAAACTTCCTAGCTTATATCCAATATCTTAAGGTAATGAGTTTATGGGCCTGAGGGCTCAGGGCTATGGTCAATTGGCATAATGAAGTCCACAAAGACAATGTTCTACATGAGTAGTATGGGTGATCTTAAAAACCTGCGGCTATCTAAGGTGTAGCTATTGGTCTCTCCATGTTCCGAAGAAAGAAAAGTACTGGAATGTGAACACCTGTCTCCACGACTCTGAATAAAAGTAAAATAGACCAGGTTTACAGGTCAGAAAGACTGGAGGAACCTGAGACTACCCTTCAAGTCTGGAATGGAATTCACCTTTGTGGCCCAATTTTCGCTCAAGCAGTGGATGCGTTTAGGGGGGTGGCAGTGGGAGGGGCAGTGAGGACAACAGCACTGGTGAGGAATGCTCACCATGGAACGATTAATCATTCAAAATCAAAAAGGACAACATTTTATTAGGGATAAAGTTGAGAAGGGATAGGAAAGTGGGTGGAATGCAAGTGGGAACCACAGGGCGGAAGCAGGGTAACTATGCTGTTGCATGGAGTGGAATGTAATTATTGAGATGAAACATGTATGATTTATTGACTATAAAGCTGATGATCATGTCTAAACCTTCACTCAATTTACAATAAAAAATTAAAACATATATGTGATTTAACCAAAAATGAGAAGAAAGTCCTTTATATAAAGATATGGCAAACACTAAACCCTTATTCTAATTTGGAAATTACCTAAAATATTTGGGGGGAGAGTAAAACAATTTACCTAAAAACAAAGAAAAACCCAAACTATGAATGACTACTGAAATCAATATTTAAGCTGTTTACATATTTTTTTCACAAACCACAGCATTTTCCCACCTAAACAACATTTTATGAGGAACACCATGCCTAAAACAAAAGAATTGCTATGGGAGCTGTGCCCTCACTCCCTACTGAGGTGAGCATCCTAGACTCCAAGGCAAAATTTGGAATCCTTTGGTTTCAAGGGCCTCTTAATAGAACCTCCTTTTTGCCTACTAGTACAAAAGTCAGTGAAAGTGTGTCTTGATAGGAGTTTTATTAGAGGAATTCATAATATCTATTTCTAACTTAAGGGAAAACACAAAAACATCAAAATGAAGATTCTTACTCTGAAGTTTGTCCAATAGTTTGGATCTGGAGGCTGTCCCTTTGCCTTCCCATTCTGCTTTTGCCCGTAGGTCTTCTGCATGGCTGCACATCAGATACCTAAATTATTAGAGAAAAAGCAACAAATATCAAACCCCTTTTTGAGGAATAAACAAATGAAAAATACTGGACATTTAGTTCTTATTAAGAAATAATGTAACAAGAGAAACTTCCATAATGGACCCCCATTCATTAATACAACATGGCATAATATAATGATTAAATGTAACGTTAACAATTATAGCTAACATACAAAATATTACTGCTATATTACGTTACCTATTAATGATATATGTTCATATATTATTACTGCAACTCTTTTGTTATGTGAAACTCTATGCACTCAACATATACAACATATATTACTTCATATAATCTTAATAATCCCATATGAGGTTGTTGTTAGGTACTAGAGTCAGTTCTGCCTGACTATATCCTATACACAACAGAATGAAACACTGCCTGGTCCTGCGCTATCCTCAGAATTGTTGTTACAACTAGCGCCCACTGCTGCTGCCACTGTGCAAATCCATCTTGTTGGGATGTCTTCCTCTTTTTCACTGTCCCTCCACTTTACCAAACATGATGTCTTTCTCCAGGACTCATCCCTCCAGATAATGTGTCCAAAGCATGACAGACGACAAAGTCTCACTATCCTGACTTCTAAGGAGCACTCTGGGATGTATTTCTTACAACACAGATTTGTTCTTTTGGCAATCCATGGTACTTTTAATAATCTTCTCCAACACTGTTAACTCAATTGCATCCATTTGTATATGGTTTTCATTGTCCAACATTCACACGCATATGGTGGTGGTGGTAGTGTTCCATGGAGTCAGCTCTGACTCATAGCGACCCTGTATAGGGTTTCCGAGGCTGTATATTTTTACAGGAGCAGAAAGCCTCATCTTTCTCCTGTGAAATAGCTGGTAGTTTCGAATTGCTGATCGTAAGGTTAGCAGCTCAATTTGTAACCACCATGTTACCAGAGAGCTCCTTACTTGCATATGAGGTTATTGAAAATACCATGTCTTGGGTCAGGCACAATTTAGTCCTTCAACTATTATCTTTGCTCTTCAGCATTTTAAAGAGGTCTTGTGCAGTAGATTTGTCTAATAATACCTTGATTTCTTGACTGCTGCTTCCATGAGTGTTAACTGTGGATCCAAGCAAAATGAAGTCTTTGACAACTTCAATCTTCTCTCCATTTACCATGTTATTTATTGGTCCAGAGGTGAGGATTTTTGTTTGCTTTACAATGACATGCAATCCATATTGAAGCTGTGATTTTTGATCTTCATCATTAAGTATCTCAAGTCCTCTTTGTTTCCAACAAACAGGTTTTTATCATCTGCATATTATAGGTTGTTATTGAATCTTCCTTCAATCCGGATGCAATGTTTTTCTTCATGTAATCCAGCTTCTAAAATTATTTGCTCAGCAAACAGATTAAGTATGGTGAATGAATACAACCCTGATTCATACTGTCTCTATTTTCAACCATTCACTATCCCCTTGTTCTGTTCTAACTAGCACTTGGCCTACGTACAGGTTCCTCATGAGCATAATCAAGTGTTCTGAAATATACATTCTTCACTGTTATCCATAGCTTATCATTATGCACACTATCGAAATCCTTTGCAGTTAATAAAGCACAGGTAAACACCTTTTGGGTGTTGTTTTCATTCAAGATCCATTTGCAAGGATATTCCTTATTTCACAGCATCATCTGAATTTGGCTTATAACTCTGGCAGTTCCCTGCTGATGTACTGTTGCAACTGTTTTTTGAATTATTTTCTACGAAATTTTACTTGAGTGTGATACTGATATTGTTCAATGATTGCCGCAATCTGGGTACAAATATGTATCACTTCCAGTTGGTTGGCAAGGCAGCTGTCTTCCAAATTTCCTGACATAGATGAGTGAGTGCCTCCAGCGCTGCCTCAGATTGTTCAATTTGTATTCCGTCAACTCCCAAAGCCTTTTTCTTTGTCAATGTCATTAGTGCACCTTGGACTTCTTCCTTTAGTACCATTGGTTCTTACTCATATGCTACCTTCTATCTTTTTTTGATGCTTTCTGCATCATTCAGTATTTTGCCCACATAATCCTTCAATATTGAAACCCAAGGGTTAAGTTTTTCTTCAGTTCCTTCAGCTTGAGAAATGCTGAGTGTTCTTTCCTATTGGTTTTCTAACTCTAGGTCTGTGCACATTTCATTGTAACACTTGACTGGCTTCTTGAACTGCCGTTGAAATTTTCTGTTCAGCTCTTTCACCTTATATAAGGTAAGGTGTATTATTATTCTATTTTTTTATGAATGAAGAAACCAAGGCAGAGAAAACTTGAGTAACTTCCCAGCAGTTAAGAAAAAAAAGTAGGGATATGAACCTAGGCATTCTAGTTCCATGCCTACTCTTAATCACCATGCTAACTAAAGTGCTTCTCGGCAGTAAAACAAAACACACAAAAAAAGGCCAAAAACCTCCAAAGATATTTGTACTAAACTAATTAAGCAAAAAAGGAAGACCCCTAAAGGAGCTGGACTGACAGTGGCTGCCGACAATGTAACAATTGTGAGTATCTGACGAAGGACCAGGCAGTGTTTCTTTCTGTTGGCAACAACAATTAAACAAAAAGAACATATCTTTAAGAATTTATCATCATTAACATTTATGAAATGGCGTAATTGGACCATCCCCTTTTGTCATCTTGTGAAATGTACTAAGAATCCTGAACACAAAATGTGTGACTTGTTACATCACTGCATACACTGATGGAAGCATAAACTTCAAAACCCAAACTACAGAGTAAAGAACAGCACCCTGGCTCAAAGTGTGACCCTGACTTCGTTCTGTTCTTCTCAGAACTAGCTTTAAAAGCAAAACACATGCAGGTGTTATTCAAACATGAGGACTGAGAGCTGGCAACACTCCTGTCTGCTACTTTGCCAGACAAATTTGTTCTTTTCACTTGTAAAAAAGATTTTAAATGGGGCAGTAAGAAATTAATAAAATGGAGTATGTGAAGTACCTGGCATACAGGTAGAGTTCAACCAATATATATATATATAAAAGGAAACCCTGTTAACATGAGTATCACCCCACCCTCTTTTTAAAACTACATAAAGCATATTTCATAGATGCTAAATTATTTTAATAGCAGCTTACTCAAAAGCAGCATCACTTATTCTCTTGCTATTTTACATTTAGTACATAAATAGTACCTTAGCTGATGAGAATTTACTTGAAATAGCATGAGAAATTAGACTCAGAACATTCTATAAGAAGCTAGATACGATAAACTTTTGGTTTCCAACATAACTGTTTGGGAGTGAAATTTATTATCAATTATATGGAAAAATTGTTCACTTAAAAAATTTTGCGAAGTGACTTACAATTAGTTCTTTGCCTTTTTGAAAACACACAAAGTCTTTAAGGTTTCAAATGAATGTTTGTTTGTTTATGGAAAGCCACATGGTATCACTGAAAGGACACTGGGCTGACACTAAAGGTTGCTGGGCTCTATTCCCAGCGTCTTGTCAACCCTGAGGCATTTTCAAATATAAAAAATTCAGGGTATATTCTGGATGCTGAAGTTCATTTCAGAATAAAAACCAAATGCTTAAAAATTACATATTGTTATCAGAATATGTGGGGGGGGGGGAGAAAGGAGTGATAAAAGAATCAGATATTTTATTTAAAAAGTAGTAAGAATAAGGCCATTTGTCAGCTATATTAAACTATCGAGCAGAATCTGCATCTTCAAGCTGTGGTGGTAAGCAAAGATCAATGACTTTGGAATTAATTTAATGAGGCTTTGAATCTTGGCTCTTTGATTTATTAGCAATTATCTTAGACTGATTACTTAACTTCTCTGAGGCTGTTTCCATACCTGCAAAATGAATGCTGTACCTATCAGGTCTCATCCTTTTGTCCATTATTTTGCATTTGAAAACTCAGTAAGTGTTATTGCTCAAATTGCTAGACTCTTATCATACAGTAATTAAAGCTATCAAGAAAAAACTTAAACAGAGTGACATGGTAGACACTGGCTGGCCGAGTTATTTTACCACCAAGTTTCAAAGGAGTGGCTAGTTGAACCAACCTTGTGGCTAGCAGTCCAATGTTTATCCTACAGTGCCACTAACGAGTAATACATAAGGAAAAAGAGGCTGGAAAGGATCAGGAATCTTGTGGCCTTGGTTTGAGATTCTGAATTCTATTTTAAATGTAATAGAAAGACAGTGAAAAGGAGTTAAATGACTTAAGATATTATTTCTTTAGCTGCTGTGTGTACTAGTGAAGCAAGAGTGAAGGCAGTGAGACAAGTTGGAGAGATGTTTGCTACTTAATTAGGATGGAAATTGTGCAGATGAACAGAAATGACTCAGTTTAAAATGTTTCAGAGTTAGGCTAATATATATCAAAGTTAAAAGGCAAAGATGAGCCTAGGTTTTTGGCATGAGTGATGTGTAGAAGGTACTGCTCTTTAATGAGATGAGAAAACTAAATGAGGAGTAGGTTTGTGGTAGGTGGGACACAAGAAACCAACAAATTAAGTTTGTTAAAGGAAACACCCAATTGGAAACTGTCAGGTAGGCTGACACACTCACACACATCTGGAGTTCAAATGAGATGGTAAATCTGGGAGCAGTTGGCATACAAATAATATGCAAAAGGCATGCTAAAGAACAAGCTTACCTAGGAAGAAGATGCAGATAAAGAATAAAGAGGGGCCCAGGACCAATGCATGGGACACTTTAATACTTAGAACACTGGCTGACCATAAAATTAGATTGTGTATACACAATGCTTAGCAAAGTATCTGGTACATGACAAGTATTTATTAAGAAATATTTACATGTGCCAATCGAGGAAACTTTATCGCTTATTGTGATTCAGGGTTTTTATACAAGACTATGAAATGCTTCTTCACTGGAAATAACTTTTTTTCTCTCTTAGCACTTAGCTTTATCTGTTATCTTTATACAGAAAGCTTCTTATGATGACATAGTCTATACAAACATATAAGTGAATTTACCCAGAAAAATGTTATCCAAGAATTTAGCAATATTCAAGTTCTTATATCTTGGAAAAATATTAAAGAAATGCAACTTTAGAAAGGTAACCATTGAAAAAATATCAGGCCCTTCACCAACCTGAAGTCTACAAACAAAGCTTCCTTACCCACTAAGAACATGAATGCGCTCAGTATTGTATTTCAGTGGCGTCAATTCACAGCGCAGAACTTGAAGTGCCTCCAGGACCTTGCCGTCCTCCAGGTATTCCAGGTACTTCTGCTGCAGCAGCAAAAACTTCATCCTCTGACATGACAGAAAGCAGCAGTCAGGGGAAAAAAGTTGATGGAAGTTTCAGAAAATGTTTGTGCCTAAACAGAACAGTAGAAACCATTCTACTATGCCCTTTGAAAATAATGTTTTATAAAGCTTCAAATATTTTAGTTTAATAGAATTGTACTTTGCTCAATTCCATACCATAATAAAACCACTTTGAATGAATAATTATAAGTCAGACAAGATTATAAGTGATCAAGACATAAACACAGGAAAAAATTATATTCAACCTCAAAACATCTACCTAGACTTTTATTTCTTACATGAAATTTTAGAATTATTTTAAGTATTTTTAGTTTACTTTTAAAAAGCCTGACTTTTATAATGGGACATTTATAATGCAGTTTGTGTGTGTGTATGTGTGTTTCAATAACACCGAAAAGCGTGAAGAACTAGTTAATGGAAGAATTTTTAATAACTACTCTGTGATACAAGGCCTAACTAGATCTGAAAGCAGAATTAGAGCCATTGGGGTAGAAGTTGCAAAGTGTCAGATTGTGGCTTATCAAAGTAAGAAGAGCTGTCCAACAAATGAACTAGAGGTTGGTTGCATAGTATTGACTAAAGTAGACAAGCATTGTTAAAATGACCAATGGTATGTTACACACATTATTTACTACAATAAGAATAAAAAGAAGTACAAAAGTAAATTGGACAAGCATAAACCTGACGGCCGACTCTCTAGATGCTCTAAATGGATGCCTACATCAGAAAGTTAAATAAAGACCTTGAAAAATATCCACCATTTACATATGTGTAATAATCACATTTAACTATAATTATCACATTTCCCCAAAAATGGATAAACTACTTCCTGCGTATTGTAAAATATTTCACATTAATTAGTTTTCCTGACATCTGTTTGGTTTTAATGCTTTTTAATGTTTATTATTTTACTTTTCACCTGAAAGTGATTATCATAAGCATTATCACAAGCATAGTAGTAGCTGTTGCTAGAGAAAAGGCATGGATATAAATAGTTTATGAATATCCAGTTTGAAATTTCTTTTGAATCTTAAAAACAATTAAGGGGCCATTTCATCTGCTTGTAGAACTTGAATTAGTCAACTGGTGTTTTCTGTTGTTAGTTTTTACAACTTTTTAAAAAAACAGGTAGAAAATGTTAGTTACATTTAGAAATGACAAGAAAATTGTGGTAAAGATCTCAAATCCACTTAAAATAAACACCCAAATGACAGTTCTTTCTTTTTATTTATGGAATTAAGATTATAATGAACTGCTCTATAAGATTTTCTACAGAAGGTGCATTTAGAAAAAAAAGGCATGAATTATGGCCTTATAAAGCTTCTAAAAAGTAAATAAAAAACTCTCATACAAATTACAAATATTAAATATATCCTTCACATATAAACTAGATAATTTATGATTGATGAGGCACTATAGAATAAGCACTGGACTCCTAACCACAAGGTCGGCGGTTCAAACCCACTAGCTGCTCCTCAGAAATGCTATATAGGGTCACTATGAGTTGGAATTGACTCAGTGGCTCTTAAGAACAACAACATCAATTTATTCTTCAATCTATCGCTATAGAATAGAAAAATAATTCAAACTATGAAATAAGCCCCTATGTAACTAAAAAATTTACACTTACAAATTTTACACATAAAATTAGATTGACTAATCAATGTATCAGAATAACTACCAAGATTCCCTAAAAATAGATTGCTATGCAGGTAGCCTTAAGTTATGCTTCACAGATCGAATAAAAATATCTTAAAAGTCTAACAGGTGATAAAAAGATATATAAAAAAAAAAAAAAAAAAAATTTCTATTTATCAATATATTCAAGTTTCTTTTCTTAGTGTTTCTGACTCAAGCCTGACAATCTCATTTAGTCGAAGATTTTATCATTTAAATGCCACATGGAAATGACCTGCATGTATATTTAATATTTCATTTCTTCACTAAATTTTCTTACCAAATGGGAATTTTTTTTTTTAGTATCTGGGGAAAGCCGTTTACTTTTATTTTTTTTTTCCATCACACACACACACACACACAATTCCAATGTGTGTAGGGACAGTGCCCCAAGTATTATTTCACCCTTATTTCCCCACCAAGATCCTACTAGAATATGCTACTTTATTTCTTTGGGGCAGAAAAGGAAAGCAGAATAAAACTCTGAGAGAAGTCAATATAAAAAAATTTTTCTGTATATACAGGGAACACTATAAAACAATCTAAGAATGTTTCTCTATGCATCATTTTATCCAAAAATAAGTTAAAGAAAATCCTCAAACAAATATCAAATCCTGGTATTATACATAGTAACTAATACGCTGCTGGCTAATACAGCTGAATTTGGCTGAAACAGACAACCTTACTGTCCTAAAAACCAGTTCAGCAACTCAAGTATTTGACACATATAAGGACTTCCTAATAGTTAAAGGACAATTTTTCGAGAAAGTAAAGACCTTTAATTCACAAGTGATGTTAGTTTACTAAAGAAGTTTTAAAACTCAGGCAAAATTGAAGCTTGCCAAGATGAGGACAGGGCTCTATTAATAGTTTTTAAAAAACAAACAAAAGTCCATAAACTTAAGTGAAGACAGAAACAAGCAGAGAAATAAAACTCTCATATCTTTCTCAACTTCTAATCAGACCTTTCTGAAAGATTAATTCTGTTCTCTTATGTTTTTTCATATGGTGCTGCAGGAAAATGAGCTGGACTGTGAGGTTGGTTTGAACTGCAACGTCGGTGGTTCAAACTCACCAGCCGCTCCTTAGAAACCCTATACAGCGGTTGCTATGAGTCAGGACATACTCAACGGCACTTAACAATGCTTTTTTAGTATATTTGGGCACAGCAATATTTTCTTCTCTCTTCTAATATGTAGCAAAAACTTGAAATTTATGACTTAAAAGATAGCTTTACTTTGTAATGTCTGCTATTGCCTCCTGTCACACCCAATATTTAGACTGCTTTATCCTTTCCTCCCATATTAGATTGAATTCAATATGAAATAAACCCTAGAAGTTATACACAGGAAGTCTGGTTATCAAAAGCAGTCTCCCAGCTACCTTAGTAGTGGTTCTGACTAACTCTGGAATGAAGTTATAACCAAGTTATACCAATCATGACTCAAAGGGGAAGTGAATTACATTTATAGCATGGCTCTCAAAACTCCTCCCTACTTGACTTGAAAATATATTAATTTTTGTGGGTCAAGTTAATATGTGGACACTTTTGTTAAGCATATTTATTAACAAATAAGAAAACATATACACACACATACACATAACCCTATACAGGGTCACTATGAGTCAGAATTGACTTGAGGCCACATAACAACACACATATATATTGTATATGTTTTCTAAGTTATTAATCTCAAGTACTCACCCCTCAATTTCCCAAACCTGACTATGTAAACATAAACCAAAAAATACTGATCATAGCGTCAAGAATATCCTGTGCAAATTCTGCTACTGGAAGTATTATTTGACAGAAACCATTTAAACATGTGGGGAAGAAGGGAGTAAACAATGTAGTTGAATGAATGGGTCAATAAAAACATTCAGGTTTGAAAAATGAAATATAATTTTAGCTTAGATATTGAAAAATGTGTCTGGATACACAATTTAAGTAATTATATATATATTTTAAAAAGACAAATAGTTGAATTCTAAGGTATTATTACAAATTTAATCTTAGATTACCTTTTGGAGATAAGGTAAAGAGGAGGAGTAAATTTAAGCACATTTTGAAAGGTGAAGGGCATTTTAAAACTGCTGAACTGAATCTTTAAAAGCAATTGATTCATCAATGCTTAAGGTGATATAAAGTTGGAACCCCTTTCTCTGTATAAATACCTAAACAGTTTGATGGTGTGAGGCTCAGCCAGAGATTTAATCTTCATCTTTTATTAGATCCTAGAATGTTCTATAGACTGAACAGGCTGTAAAAAGAAAGGATTCCTCCTTATTATCTATAGCTACCTTTCTTCAGTTTACATGTTGTTTCTAATGAAGGTTTCTAATGAGATAGTCATAATCTAGATTTAATGCAGAAGTCTCAAATTATTATAAATAAAAAAAATAAAAAAATAGGAAGCAACCCTATTTAAAAAATTACTGCTTAATTACAGATACAATTTGGGAGAAGCTTAAAAAAGGTACACAACCCTCTAAGAAATCACATACTTTTTAATAGAGTTATATAAAAATCTTGAAAACTCTTTTGTAGTCAAAATTAAAACAAACAAAAAACCCCATAAAGCTATTAGGTTTATAGACTGAGACCCAATTAAAAGAAACAAAACAAAAAAACAAACTGTAACAGTCATTTACTAATATTTAACAAACAGCTGTTTTCCCTACTTCACTTCCTATTTGCCTTCTTTCCCTCCCCCAACAGACAGGAAACTGCTTTTGACAACAAATGAATCAGCTAGAAGTTAAAAAGCCAGCAGCAGCAAGAAGCTAGCAGCTGATTCTTCATGGTTTCCAATCATAAGCACTTAGAAAAAACTTATCCTCTTGTCTCCCTCACCAACTTTAACAAAGAATTAAAGTGCCACCAGGGTAAAAGATTCCTTAAGATATATTGAAAGAGGCTAACAGCTACTAAATTGATCTTGTCGGGGAAATAAGGCTAGTAGTAAGCACAGCCCAATTGTCAAATTTGCATATAAACCCTCCACCAGAATGATACATATTATCCCAACTTTGACACTGTCAATTCACACAGCTGGAATGCAAGAGTGTAAAATGGTGAGCACACCTGAGGAGTTGGTTTGAACTAACTACAATTCTCAGAGATTAAAAAATATATACATATATAATTAATGTATAAACTACTTAAGATTGTAGGAATAGGCACAAACTCAAAGCATGTTCTTTCTCTCCACCAGCATATTTACTGTTAAGCAATATAAAAACATAACTTTATAAACATAAAACTCCCATTGAGAATAATGAAAGCTTCAAGCATTTAATAAAATTTTTGCAGTGCTTAATTTATAAACAGTTTAAAATGACACAACTATTAAGTATGCTTTTTAAGAATACAAAGCTCAAACTTTAAAAACTAAATACTCATTTTAGCTTACAAATTCAACTTTACGAAATTTAATTACTTTAGGCCTTATCTTTTATAAGCAGCAGAAGCCTAGCATTATCAACAACCTATTAAAATAAGCATAAATGTGAAACTAAGAACAAAAGTGTATTTACCACAATTATTCCCAACAACGTTTGAGAGATTTCAAGTGCGCCTCTTACCACAATAGCATGAGGAGAATGCACTAAAGGCTTTAGTTCATTCAGGTCATTTTCTGCCTGCAAAAATTGGTATAAAAGAAAAACAGACATGTCACAAAATGCACATCAAATATATAATTTTAGCAGTAGTCACACAGCTCTATATGCCCTACTTTACCTTATCCCAGTCTCCTTCCATGACATGATTTCGGAATTTGGTAGCAGAAGGATGTTCTAAACGACATCCTGACTCTTGCATGAGGAGATCAACAGTCTGGCTGCAGGAGAGATACAGTGTAAAAAAGACCTGACCAACTTTAGGTTGTACTCTTCCAAATAAACTAATGTCTAAGAAAACAGTTGCCAACCTTATGCTAATCTTAGTGATCAAGAAAAAGAAATAGCTTTAATGAGCTTGGTTTAAAAACTTGATATTTAAACTGCCACCTACATTTATCATTAGTCAAGTTAAAAACCTTTCTTGACTCTAAAATCAAAATAAACTCTTGCCAGTTTTGCCATTTAATGTTTCAGAAGTTTCACAAAGGATAAAATTTCTAAGTGTGTTGTAATCAAATGGTTAAATAAATGACAAACTCAGGATCCACTCACTATGTTGAACACACTAACATTTTGAAAAAATAAAAATTGTTAACGCCATACAAGGTGATGAGTCTTGCATTCAGACCTTGTATTTGTGAAAAAATTCTACTAGGTTAATCTTTAAAATGAAAATAAATCCAGCACCAAAAATCATTCCCTTTTGCACTATACTAAAAATAGCAAATTTACTACAGTGTAGGTTCCAAACAGTCACGAGTTATTTCCTCCTGCTGCTGTCAGCTTGCTTCTTGTCTCAGTAATATGTTGTTAGCATTTACAAAATCTGTTTTCATACTAATTCATTTCCTTACGGAATAAAGTAAAAAATCTTTCTACAATACGTATATATCTGAGAGCTTAAAAGGTTCATCAAATGCAGTTTCCTCCATCAGCTATTTTGATTGATAGCAGTACCCATATTTATTAGTCTTATGTACTTGTTTCAATGCTTTCTAATTCAACTCTATTTTTTCAGCTAAACAGTGTGACGATCTACTTGAGAATCAAAATAGTCATGTCGCTTTTTAAAATGTGCTTGCTGTTTTTCCCCAAAGCAAATCTATAATTCCCAAACTACACATTGGCTAGCCTAACAGTTTATTCTAATCTAAGCTTTGAAGCTAGGAAACTCTGTTGCATTTCCTCCCTTTTCGGCTCATTCTGGTTCTGGCTCATCGACCACGGAATCCTACCTTCCATTCTGAGTTTTTCTTTGTGTAGGAACGATGGTTTTGGATCAAGGCCTGTGTCTACTGCCCCCGCCCCCATTTTAGTTCTACAAGGCCACCTAAATTGTACTTGAAAACGAGTGATTCACCAGATCAGATGACCCCCTTTCAGACACAATCATCCAGTATTAAATCAGGATTGCAGACTAGTAGTGCTAAGCCTCTTGTAAACATAAAAGAGCCTCTAAATGACATTAACATGGTATCTTATATACTTCATTATTCCCTTAGATTTATTCAATCTCTTTCCAAATTACCCCAGTCCCTCAGTTCCCATAAACACTTGTGGGTGATTGTCTTTCCTGATTGGTAGTTTCCCTGGGTTATGGTCTGTCATAGCTGGGGGTGGGGAAGTGTCCCACAAAGATGTCTCTTAAGATATACTTGAAAAGCAAATCGTCCAAGGTTCATTATTTCCACCAGCTCCGATCCGCCCCTCCCCCAGCACAGAGCCTCTCCGGCATCTGTCTTTATTGACAGACAGACAGTTCAGCTCTGAAGGTGTGTGGGGAGGGCTGATTCTTGTGGTTTCTATTTGCCCTGCTCCCGCCCTTCCCCCTCCCCCCAGTCTGTCTGGCCGACTGATCCCCACTTATTTCCCTCCGGTCAGCGCCCCCCCCTCCCCCGTCGGCCTGACTGAGCTGCGTCTTCCTGGGTGCTGGGCCCTCGTGCCCAGCAGTCATTCTCGCTGGTATTGCGCTCTTTCCAGTCTCACCCCCCACCCAGCAGCCGCCGTCCCTCCGTCTGTCCAGCATCGGCTACCTGTAAAGGATACTTACTTGAGCCCTAAGCCATTCAAGTGCTGTCCTATTAGCCTAATCACATCCTCATCTGACTGGGAGAGCCGCTTCTTCTTCTTGAGGCTGCTGCCCAGTTCTGGGGTGGCCAATGAAGAGGAGGCGGCGGTAGTGGCGGAGGCAGCTGCGACGGTGGCGGAGGCTGCGGCGGCCGCCCCGCCGGGGACCCCGTTATTGACATTCAGGCTGTTGCTATTGTTGCTGGCGGCGGAGGGGGCGGAAGGCAGGAGCCCATTGGCGTGGGCCAGGTCCCCCGCGGAGGTCGACGACGAGGGGGATGACTCTCCGTTCTGGGCCGACAGACAGGCGAGTTCCTGGGTCTGTCCCTGGCCCCCGCCGCCCCCTCCTCCTCCGCCGCCACTACCTCCTCCTCCTCCTCCTGCCCCGTTGGCCTGCATGATGCTGCCGCTGACCAGACTGTGGCCGCTACTTCGGTGGGGGACGGCAGCGGAAGGGGCAGCAGCCGGGGGGAGTCCCACTACTACCACCACGGAGGAGGAGGAGGAGGACGACGACGAGGACGACGAGGACGGAGGGGAGAGGCCTGCTCTGCCTGCCGAAGCCCCGGGCTCTCCTGCTCCCTCCGCCGCCGAGGCTCGGGGTTTCTTCCGCGGGGGCGGGGAGGCTCCGCCGGTGTCCGAGTCGGAGGAGGAGGAAGCGGAGGCCAGAGTTTCCTCGCCGAGAGAGGCCGTGGTGGGAAGCCGGTGGGGCGAGGCGGGGGCCGGGGAGAAGGTCGGGGTGAGGGGGGGTCAGGGAGGTGGGGAGGGGGTCAGGGTAGGAGGGTGAGAGGAGGGGAAGGAGGAGGGAGAGGAGGAGGGGGAGAAGGAGGATCCGGGCCCTTTCCCCCCCCCCTCCCGAAGGCAGCTCGGGGTGCGCGGCCCGGGGGTCGCGCCGAGGGGCGCCGCGGGACGGCTGCGGGGGCTCGGGGCCCGCCGCTGGGCTGAGCCCCGGCGGTGGCGGCGGCGGTGGCGGCGGCGGGCGGCAGCAGAGGCAGCTGCCGCCTCTGTCCTCGAGTCCGCTCCGCTCTGCTCCCTGGTGTGTTGATTCTTCCCCAGCTGCTGCTTAATGGAGTCCAGGCGCTCGCGTCACAGGAAATGCCTATACTGCCCTCCTCACTCACTTCCGGTGGCAGGTATGGAACCTATAGGGGGCCTGTCACTCGGTACGTGCGCCGGGGGCCGGTTGAGTATTAGGGGAGGGAGGTTGGTGGGCTGCCCGGGGTCCGAGTCCGACCCCGACCTGGAGCCCGATCCGGGACCCGCGCGGGCCTCTCCCCCGGCGCCCGGCGGGGCTGGTGCAGCGAGGAGTAAGTTCGTAACCGCCCTCCGTGGCCCGGCGGGCACCGGATGGCAGGGTTGGTGTGAGTGTGCTTGTGTGTCTGTGTGCACCAGTGTGACCCAGAAATGTGAGATGCGCGGAGAGACTGCAAATTCTCCATCACTGGCTGAAGCTGGAGTCGAGCAGGTGGCTAGTGTTTGTAAAAGCACTACAAGGCCCAGAACCGTGTAGGCCTTGTGGCCCCGGTTGATGGTAACTACGGCTCAAACCAGGATTAACAATCCTTTAGTGTAGAAAAGATTACATTTGCACAACCAAGTGCCATACACACATGGTTGCCATACCCGGGCCATCCCATGAGTTTTGAGATGAGCAGATTTCGCCCTGGGCGTCACACTAGAAGGATGAAACAGTAGTTTGTAAGAACCCATTTGATCGGGAAAATAAGTCACAAAAAGACCGTGGTTGGAAGGGAATGACTTTGTTGACGGGTTATACTCTTTTTAGAAGCACTGGGCCCAGCACCTCCTCCTTTCCAGCTGCCTCTAGACTCACTGGACTGCTAACTGCTGTGGGGACCCCGAATTCTGGGCATAACAACAGCAAGGCTGGCAGTTCCAACCCACCATCCGCTCGCTCTACAAGATGGTTATGAGTTGAAACCGACTCCACGACAAACTTACAAGCCACTCCTTGGAGGCCCTATACAGGGTTGCTATAAATCAAAAGCGACTCCACGAGTCATGTTGTTGTTAAGTGTCGTCGAGTCGATTCCGATCCATAGTGACCCTGTAGAGGGTTTCCAAGGAGCAGTTGATGAGCTTGAACCGCTGACTTTGCAGTTCAAATGGCTTTCCAGTCTGGCGCATTAACCCACAGCGCCACACCAGGACTCCACAAGTCATAGCAACTCTGTTTAGGGTTTACGAAGAGTGGCTGGTGGATTTGAATCGCCAACCTTGCGTTTCGAAGTCCAGTGCTGATCCTGCAATGCCAGACGAGGAGTCACAACAACTTATCATTGAAGGAATATAAAGATTCTAAAAAGTCAGGTCCCACTTCAGATTCAGGTTTAAGATTATTCCATGAAAAGTGAGCCTCCATTGTCACCGTGGCATACACACCTATGTGTGTGTCTAACACAACAAAGAACTGGCAAAGTCAGGACAATTGATGAGTGGTCTACATTATCCCGATGTTTGTGACTCTTAACCATTCACATGTATGTGATAGGTAGTATACACACTTGATATGTACCAACATTTTCTCAGAATCTTAAAAAACAAGAGGCAAAAACTTTCTCTGAAGTAATTTCCCTGTGGAATAAAACATGAACTCAACTGATTTACAATATTAGTAATGCCAAATAACTAAGATTTTTAGAGTCAGGTCTTATAAAATTTAGAAATAATAATAAGGAAATGATGCTTATGAGTGATTCAAGAAGAATCCTGAGCCCTACTATTCCTCAAACTTGAAGAAGAGAGAGAAGAGCAAGACGGGATCTTACAGAGCTTGAGCTTTGTAGTTCTCATCTCTTAAACATGCTTGCAGGTGGCTGCTGTAATTGCAAGGTGACACACATACTATGTTTTTATTCACTTAAGACAGACTTGAGTTCTAGCTAAGGTTCAGAGCAGGGCTTCACACGGCTTGAATGCCTGCTGAGAATTTGCATTTTCAGCTATATATACTGCATGAGAATTTACAGGTGATTCTTATTATACATAATGCAAATTTTCAGCAGGGGCCAAACCGATGGATGAATTCTTTTGAAGTCCTGGTTCATAGGCACCTTCACTGTATCCAGCAGAGCCTGAATGACTAGATAGTTAACACCTTCAGAGATCCCTGTTTGTATATTAACTTTGTACAACCTTATTAAAAATGTGTTGTTATTTATACAAACTTTAATTTTGGCAAAATGCTTTATAATAATTTATTAGGCTCTTAGCAGCATTGAGGACAAGCTTATGAATGAAGTCTATAGCTTTCATAAAGGAAGCAACCACTTAGTGGTAGCTCCAGACAAGGCTCACACTTCATTAACAAAAGTAGACAGATGAAAGGAAAAAGAAACCAGACTCGTCTTAATATATATATGTATATCCCAACTACTTTGTTTTTTATATAAGCAAGGTCGCTTTTATCAGAATTCTGAATTTATGTTGTCCATGTGCACATGGTGTCCTGATGTGGTGCTGTAGGATAAGCACTCGACCTCAAGGTCGGTTTGTACCGCAAGGCTGGCAATTCAAACTCACTAGTCGCTCCTCAGAAACCGTATGAGTTGGGAATGACTGGACAGCCCTTAACAACAACAATGTGCACAAAACATTTTTCACTACATTAAAACACAGCTAGGGAACCCGTCGTCTGGACTCCATCTTTTTAGAATCAGGTTTCAGGTCCACATGCAAATTAATAATTCTGAAATACCACTCTGTACACACACAGAAAAGGAGTACTGGTGGCACAGTGGCTTAAGTGTTGGGCTACTAGCCACAAGGTCTGTGGTTCAAACCCAGCAGCCACTCTGAGGCAGAAAGATGAGGCTGACTGCCCCCGTGAAGATTTCGTTTTGGATACCTTAAGAAGCAGTTCTATTTTGTCCTATAGGGTGGCTGAGTTGGAATCAACTTGATGGCAATGGATAGGTTTACACACTCAGAACTTTGTTGTTGTTAAGTGCTGTTGAGTAGTTCTGACTCATAGCAACCCTATATAGGGTTTCCAAGGAGCAGCTGGTGGGTTTGAACCACTGACCTTGTGGTTAGCAGTCCAGTGCTTATCCTAAAAGCACCACATCAGGATTCCCAGAACCCTCTAGTAACATCTTATTACGTACAGTATAAAATTCAAATTCTGTCTTGCTCTCCACAGATGGCCTCATTCTTCTTTCTGGTTTATCTCTCACTGCTTCTTTTCATTACAGACCTTAATTGTCGTTGTTGTGAAGTGCCATCGAGTCAATCCCGACCCATAGCAACCCTGTATAGAGTTTCCAAGGAGCATCTGGTGAGCTTGAACCACTGACCTTGCAGTTCAAACGACTTTGCAGTCTGGCGCATCAACCCACAATGCCATATCCTATACCGGGTCACTGTGAGTCGAAACCAACTCGAGGGCACTTACCAGCAACAACAACAACAGTCCTCATGAGTGGCTTTCATTATGCCTTCAATTTTGAAGGGTGCTTATAATGTTGTGTTATTCAGGCTCTGCTGGATAACATTACAATGTGAATTTGCTAAGATCCCTTTTTCAAATCATTAAAGGGGAGTTTTCTAGACCTCTTGTCATAGATTGAATTGTGTCCCTCCCGGCCCCCAAATATGTATCAGCTTGGCTGGGTCATGATTCTTAGTCTTTTGTCAGTCATTTAATGTGTTAGTTAATTAATGTGGTAATTATCTGATGATTCCCCATGATATGATAAACCAGTAAAAGGATTAAGGGAGGGTTGCAATGCCCTTAATCCAATCACAGACCAGATCCAATATAAGGGAGTTTCCCAGGGGTGTGGCATGTGACATCTTTTATCTACCAAGATAAAAGGCGAGAGAAGGAAGCAGAGAGAAAGACCTACTACCATCCCAAGATAGAAGACCCTGGAGTGGAGTGTTAACCTTGGACCTGGGGTATCTGCACTGTGAAACTCCTAGATCCAGGGAATGGTTGATGCCAAAAGATACATGGAAATCCCCAAGGAATACTGGGTTTACAGATGCTGAAAGGAGACCAGGACCTTTCTCCAGAACATCTAGCCTCCTAAACTGTGAGAGAATAAATTTTTGCTTGTTAAAGTCACCCACTTGTGGTATTTCTGTTATAGCAGCAGTAGATGATTAAGACACCTTTGTTCCCCTGATTTACCTTCCACTTTTATCCTCTTCCTGGAAAATAACAAAATGAGTTGAGGAATGAAGGTTCGGTGGTTTTTAAAGGAAAAGAAATTGAAGATAGATAGTTAGATAGATAGATATACACACGGACACACACACATATGTATATATCTATGTATATATATGTAGTTGATTAAATTTACTTCTGCACTGTTTTAATAGGTCTTTATATGACCAACCCTGTGCTAGACCTCAAATAAGAGGTAACTTCTTGTTCTAGAAGTAATCAAGCAAAGACTTTCAGGTATATCACCCTCATCAGAAATGAAGAATGAATGAATGACAGAACAGATGGCTGAATTAATTGGCCTCTGAGACCTTTTCAATCCTAAGATGTCTGTGATATATATATATATATGTATAGGGTTTCCAAGGAGTGACTGGTGAGCTTGAAC